AGAGACTGATCGGATGCTGTTTCTGCACGTACGCGTATGCCGTCAAATCTATTTTGGGTCGTCGTTGTCGTCGTCGTCGTCGTCGTCGGGGACGGATGAGCGTGACGGAGCGGTACTCCCTAGGGACCGTGTGGCCTGCCATCCTGCCATCCGTAGGTACAGGATGGATACGGATGGGTGGTCAGTTCGGCATCGCGATTCACCGGTCCGGGGCTGGTGGTGTGCGGGCGAGTATGCATCGTCGTGCTATACCATGTAGATGCCAGGTATCAATACGGTACGTGGGAGGGACGGGGGTACGGGCACGATATATGCGATGGGATACGATTATATCACCGGAGTGAAGGCCGGAGTGAAGGCCGGACGAGGACAGATGAACGAACGCTTTTCTGTATCGATATTGACATCGCAGAGGATACGGAGTAGCAGGACCAGAGCAAGTCGGCATATATATGTGTGTGTGTGCGTGCGGGTGCGCGCGTGTGTATGTGCGTGCGCGTATGTGTGTGTGTGTGTGCGTGTGTGTATGTATATACATATATACATATATACATATACATATATATATATATATATATATACATGCATCATGAATATATTATCCGTGCTCGACTCTTTTTTCGTACAATCTACTCGTACAATCCACTGAGCAATACAGTAAATACAGGCAGACAGACAGAGAGAGAGACCCATTGAGGCTGTGTCGGACGCTAGTCCACGCACACACGCGTTATCCACCCTAAATAATTGCACATCCTTAACCCGATGAACACGATTCTTTTATTTATTGTTATTATTATCATCTTCCGTTTATTTCTTCCCATTATTTTATCATCTTATTATCATCTTATTATTTTACCTCATTATCATATATATATACATATATATTTTCAGATATATTATCTTCATTAGTACTCGCGTACTGCGGATTATTACGACGTGTTAGGTACTTATCCTCACCCTACGAGTACACGTACTGATAGTGTACGGAGTGATACCTGTGAGGACGGTAGCCGTCGTATGAGCACCCGTCGTACTCGGCAGGTACTGCGAGAGCCAGCAGCGCAAGACAGAAAAGGGTAAAGACGCCTCTCCCTTTCTCTCCTGTTCGTCACCTACTCGCATGTCACTCTGTACCTGCTACTGTACTGCTACTGTACTACGCGTACGAGTACCTTTTTCTTTTTTTTTATATACTTTTTTTTTATACTTTTTTTTTTTACTTTTTTTTTTACTGGAGCATTTGGCTGCCTCACGACTTCTTGCCAACCCTTTTTTTTTCATGTGTGCGTGCGTGGTGCGCGTGCGCGTGCGTCTGTAAATGTATGTCTGTCTGTCCGTCCGTCTGTCTGTGTATGTGTGTGTGTGTGTGTATGTATTAAATGTCGACAGTGGGTTCCGTCCGTATCCCTACGACATATCAGTCTCTCATGCAACGTTGAGAAAGACCGATCTTCTACACTCCTCCTATAACCGAGCTCATAGAGACCAGAGGAAGAGAGAAGAGATAGAAACATTGCCATCATCTTCTGTCTCTCTCTCTCTCCCTCTCCCTCCCCAGTAGGACCTGGGTCATCCTCTTCAATACTTCGTCCTCCTCCCTATACACTTCCCTTCCCCCCCCCCCCAGATGAATAGCAGCATGTCTCGTCACGCAGACTCGAGGACTGTCCATGAGAACAACAACAGCAACAACAACAACAACAACAACAACAACAACGAAATCACAACCACCATGTCTACCACCACCACCGCCACCACCACCACCCCTGCCCCCTCTGCAACGGTGACGGCATCGGCAGCGGGGACAAAGTCCAGACGATCTCATCGCAAGTCCCGCAACGGCTGTATAGAGTGCAAGCGTCGTCACATCCGCTGCGACGAGGGCCGTCCCGCCTGCACGAACTGCACCATCGCAGAGAGGAACTGCTCCTTCCCGGTCCCGCCTGCGGCTCCAGCCGTCCACACCCCGGGCACGTCGACGCTCGAGGTGCCGTCTTCTCACCATCACAGTCACAGTCACCGCCACCACCACGGTCACAGTCCGGCTCGGAGCAGCAGCAGCTTCGGCTCCAGAGACGCAGCCTCGGACGACTTCTTCCCGCGGCCACCACCCATGACGGCCTCGGCCCCGATCGCCGGCCTGCACCACCACTTCCACCACCAATCCTATCACGCTCTTCATCCTCAGCAGCACCAGCCCCAGCATCAGCATCATCAACCGCAGCAGCACCAGCAGCACCAGCAGCAGCACCAGCAGCAGCCTCTCCCCGGCCTGTCGTCGACCCAGCAGCAGCAGTCGCTCCCTTCGTTCAACGAATCCTTTGCCAACGCCGGACCCGCCGCCACCGTACCGCCGCCGCCGCCGCCGCCGCCGCCGCCGCCGTCGTCGTCGTCGCGCGCGGGAAGCGGCAGCGCCGGCAGTGCGGCCGGGGGTGCCCCCTTCCCCGGCGGGTCGGTGACGTCAGTCTTCACGCCCCAGCACCTCGTGCTGCTGCACCACCTCGAGGCCGACATGGGGTCGGACATACTGGGCCAGGGCCAGACGTCGACGGTGCTCGACGTGGCCATCCGCCGCGTGGCCGAGTGCCCATACCTGATCGACGAGCTGCTGGCCTTCTCGGCCCTGCACCTGGCGCACCGGGCGCCCGAGACGGCCGGCTCCTTCGCCCACCAGTCCACCGAGCTCCAGACGCGCGGCCTGTCGTACTTTGCGCGCGAGGTCGAGTACCTGGGCGCGGCCGACTCGCACGTCGCCGGCCCCCGCTTCCTCTACGCCACCCTGCTGAGCCTGCACTCGCTCGCCGAGACGCTGGTCTACCTCCGCGCCGACCTGGACCTCTTCGTCGACCGCTTCATCGAGTGCATCCACCTCCACCGCGGCATCCTGCACACCCTGCGCTTCCAGTTCGACCTGCTGCTCCGATCCGAGCTGAGCCCCATCATCTCCATCGCCCAGCTCCAGACCAGCGGCGGCCCGCTGCTCGGCCACGAGTGCAAGCCCCTCGCCGCCCTGGTCGAGTCCTCGGCCGCCGCCGCCGCCGGGCTCGCGGAGCTCCCCGCCTCGGAGGCCGCCTGCTGCCGCGACGTCGTCAACCTCTTGCAGTGGGCCTTCGACCTGAGCGCCCAGCTGCCCAGCCGGGACTTCCCCCACGCCGTCTCGGGCTTCATCGTCCTCGTCCCGCACGACTTCGTCGCCGTCCTGCGAGCCCGGAGACCCGTCGCCCTCGTCATCCTGGCCTACTTTGGCGTCCTCATGCACCGCACCCGACGCTACTGGATCTGCGGCGACAATGGCGCCCTGATGATCGGCACCGTCGCTCGTCAGCTCGGTCCCCGGTATGCGGATGTCATGCGCTGGCCTCTGGAGGTTATCGACAGGGATCACGACTGATTATACGACTACTCCTCTCTCTCCATCTCCCTCTCTCCATCTCCCTCTCTCCATCTCCCTGTCTCTATCTCCCCGTCTCTATCTCCCCGTCTCTCTCTCTCTCTCTCTCTCTCTCTCTCTCTCTCTCTCAACAACTGGGTAAACGACGAAAAAAAGAAAACGAAAAAAAGGAAAAGATACGAGACGAGTTCTCCACAATTGAAAAGCCATGATAACCTTATCCCGAGTTTTTTTCTTTCCCCGCGTACAACAAAAAAAAACAGAAAGGAGAAGGGGAAGAAAAAAAAAAGAACCGTCAGAGCGGGTACCCTCCCGTTGATCGCCATGGGGACAAGCTTATACATATACTCGTATTCTTTCGAGGATACGGGAAAATACACCTGTTTCTTTTCGTCTACGGAATATTACTACGATGGTCACTCCGCTTCTTTTTTTTTTCTCCCTCTCCCACTTACCGAGGGATTTTTTTTTTTCCACTGCAAGAGAGAGAGGGGGGGGAGGAGAGTGAAGAAGTGAGAGAGAGAGAGACAGGGAGAGAGAGAAGTGGGAGGTTTGGTATGAGAGAGACGAGACGTAGGAGATACAAGAGATGGTGGGGGGAGGGGGGAGGGGATGATCGATTTCCGGTTGGCTCGATTATATCGGGGACGAAATTTAGTGGGGATCCACAGCGCTCTTTTTTTTTTCTTTTTTTCTTTTTTTTTTCTCTTCTCCCTCTTCCAATTTTACCTCTTCCCCCCCCCCCCCCCCCCCCCTCCTTCTTTTCTTGTACGGAGGACTCCGTAGGGGATCATTTCACAAGCTGAAGATGGGACATGCTTTTTCCCATCTTTTTCTCTTTCATTTCAAGCCTAGGGTTTTTTTTTTTTCCTTTTTTCTTTTTCCCTCTTTCATTGGTTAAAAAAGGTCCGTGGGAGTTGGGTGGAATACATTGTACAAGTCACCCTCTTGAAAAGGGTGCTCTTTATATCTCTTTTCTTTTTTTCTTCTTTTTTTTCCCCCTTATTTTTTTTCACTTGTATCACACATATATACAGATACCCACATGGAGCAGCATATTGGGCAAAATCAATAGCGACAATTAGAAATAGGAGGAGTTGGGTCTTGGGAGTTTTATTTATGTCTCATATTGATCTTGTATGGCGAAGCGGGAGAATTGTTGATGCCTGTTTTTGTCTCTCTAATCCAAGTTTATTTCTATTCATTTATTATAAACATTATGTCGAATTGTTAAGCGGACGTCAGATTGTGATGATTATGATTCATGAGGAAGAAGGAAGGAAAGAAGGAAAGAAGGAAGGGAGATCACCACAAAGAGCTGAGTAAGAAATAAGCAAGAAATAAGCTTTATTCTAGCAGACATTATATTGTAATGACCTTGATTCTGAAAAGGAAGGAAGAGAGGGGGGAGAAAAAAAGCAGATGCTAAAGAAACTATTTTTCGAAAAGAGAGAGAGAGAGAGACACACACACAGAGAGAGAGAGAGAGAGAGAAAGAAACAGCAACGTCACTTCCTTTTGTGAATACCTCTCAATCTTCAGTTTTTCATTGTAATCGGAGGAAAGTACGGCGGCTAGTATGACATGATACCCCGAATAGGTGAAAAGCTGAACCCCGATTTTTATTACTATTCTTATTAGTATCTCGCCATCCTTACTAGGCGCGGCTCTACCCCAAGCGCGGGCTTGTATATATATAAAATAGGTATACTCGTACTATAGGGGTCAAGGGAGTAGAAAGATGATATAATCACTCGTACCGAGAAGGGCAAAAGTTGCCATGACCATACTCGGCGTGCCTTCACGTCACCCGTCACTGACCCTGGAAGAACTCTGAGGTTCCCAAACCTGGTGCCTGCCTGCCTGTACTCTACGCCCTACTCTCCATGGGTATATGGGTATATATACGTATGTATGTATGTATGCATGTGTGTAGACGCTCGATTCCTCATCGTCCAAAGGGGGGTTGGTTGGTTTAACACATGCCAATATCCCAATACATCATATCCCCATCATGGCCCATGGAGTATCGCCAGGGTCAAAATCCAGAGTAAATCCAGTGTAAATCATACTACAGAGTACAGAGTTGTCGTACACAGCCTGGGAAAGGAAAAGAAGAAGAAGAAGAAGAAGAAGAAGGGGGGGGGGGGGGGGGGGGGGGGGGGGGGAGAGAGGGAAAAAAAGCGCCTTGGGAGGCGCAGTATGCGTGTCAGAATCGACAAGCCACGTTCCCCCTCTGATTTACAAAGGAGGGGGGGGATTGCGGCAAGCGAGTTACGAGTACAGGTAATAAATGCTTGATGAATACTTGTACGCATATCTATGCGCCCCCTTCTTCCCCCAGTCAAGAAGATCCCATAAAGACGTTGCCGAGAGCCTTGCAGTACGCCCGCTCGCAACATGCCTACCCACCTGGCCGGGTAAGACTGTATACATCATGTATGCTGTTGTAATCTGTACATGCACATGTACTCTCGTAGTTGGTCGGTTGGACTGACTGGCTTACAGGAGACTCGTAAGAGACAAACCATGCTGTGTGCCGTATTACGACCGTCTCATCAATGGGCATCATCGGCGCGCGCAGAAGAAGAAGACAGGCTTGGTGATCAACAGGTTTATCGGGTCCCGATCGGTCAGTTCCTCTTCAAGTCAAACATGGTGAATAAGACGAGTTTTTCTCCTTCACATTCTCTCTCTCTCTCTCTCTCTCTCTCTCTCTTATTCCATCCCCCCCCTTCCTCCTCAGTGGGCCTTACACCAACCCCCCTGCAAGATGGGCGGCTATGCAAATTGGAGAAAGTGGCAATACACCATACATGTATACACCATACATATTATACATCATGCCTCTGTAGTCTTTCTGCACAGAACGGACGGAACCAACAGGCTCCTCTGGGGGGGGGAGGGAGGATTTCTCTGTAAATTTCTGAAGAATACAAGAACCCTTAGGCGGGGGACGTTTCACACACACACGCACATCTTCTCCCCATTTCCCTCTTCTTTTTTTTTCCCTTCTTTTTCTCTGTGCTCTCTCTGCTCCTATTTATCTCGGTTCAGAATCTGGTGATGACATCGGTTTACACCCAAGAAAAAGAAGAAAAGAAGAAGGATAACAGTGATACCCTCCGACTTTTGCTGCGAAAATATCTCTCGTCGTGCCCTCATTTACTAGTGCCGGTGGCCCTGTGATACCGTCCATCTGTCGAGACGACTAGTTTCCATTCTCCATTGGTATTGACGGATCCTGCGGTGCCCTCGGTCCTTGCTACCGAAGAAATACCTGCCATAACCCATACATCTCCGTGTCGGTGGCTCCGTGATACCCTTCTATTCGCCGTCAGGCACACCCTCATCGGTGCCGGCCGGCTTCGTGACACCTTGGACCGCAGCTTGCTTCGGCACACGCCACCGTCGCACACGCTGCAATTGGCGAGCAGCGACGCTGGCGGCGGCGACCTCTGGGCTGTGGCACCTCGACCCCCGACCACCGTCACACAGCAAGCTGCCCGATGTCAACGACACAGGTGACACGGCAGCGGCCAAGGGAAAGCCTCCGGAGGAGGCTGCTGGGCAGAGGCAGAGAGAGGGCCACTGCCGCGGTCCCTTATAGCCCGTCAGGCCCCTCCGGGCTCGGCATGGCGGTCCAGCTTCCCAGTCCGCCGCTCAGCCCCGGTTCCGACCCCGGCCTCGACCTCGACCCCGACCCCGTCGCTCACGACCCCCGCGGGCAAGGGCTCGCTGTCCTGTGGGAGTGCGACCGGCCCGAGGTGGACATCTGCTTCGTGCACGGGCTGGCGGGGACTCGGGAGGGGACGTGGAGGGCGAAGGGGCGCGAGAAGCCGTGGCCGCAGGAGTTCCTGCCGCCAGCGATCCCGACGGCGCGCATCATGACGTTTGGTTACGACGCGCAAATCTTCGTCAAGGATCCCGGCGCCGGATCCAGGTCCAGGTCCGGCAGGTCGAGCGGCTCCTCGGTGTCCAAGTGGAGGACGGTGCTCAAGTCGTCGGGCGGTGGCTCGACCAACAGGCTCAGGGATCACGCCACCAACCTCCTCAGCGACCTGTATATCAAGCGCAGCCGGGGCCGCGGCCGCCCCATCATCTTCGTCGCCCACAGCCTCGGCGGCCTCCTCTGCAAGGAGGCGCTCCTGATGGCCGAGAAGGAGCAGCCCGGGAGCCCCAACGGGGACATCTTCTCCTCCACCTGGGGGATCGCCTTCCTCGGCACCCCTCACAGGGGCTCCACCGCCGCCCGGGAGATGAGGTACCTGGCCGCCGCCCTGGAGAGGTACACCAGCGCCTCGCTCCTCGATAACATCGACATCCTCGCCCCGGACAGCCAGTACCTGGACAGCATGCGCCGGGACTTTGCCGACCTCCTCGGCCGCAGGGCTAGCAAGACGCCCATCAACATCGTCTGCTTCTACGAGGAGCTCAAGACGGAGACGCACTTGCTCTCTTCCAACGCTCAGCATATCGTGCCCAAGGCGTCCGCCACCTTGGACGGCTTCAGGTCGGGCAGCATTTGCGCCAACCACATGAACATGGCCAAGTTCGCCTCTCCTACCGACCCTGGCTTCGAGAGGCTGGTTTTCGGTTACCTGAAGTACTGGGTCGAGTGCCTCCCGGCCGCTGTTGACTTACCGCCGAGCAGCACCGTCCCACCCGAGGCTCTGGGTGCCGCTCCCATCAACCTCATTAGCAATGAAGAGTTCAATCCCCAAAACACCACCCCTCAGAACGATACAGGTGAGTGTGTTACAGATAATTGCTTAAAAGTAAAGGAAACTTGTTCACTAAGAAGCGAACGTTGAAGCGCAGACCCGGGACACAGGCCAGGTAATACCTCCGATCAACGCCAGCCCGCACGAACGTTGCCTCGAGTCTCTACAGTTCCCAGAAATGAACCTGCGGTACGAGACAGTACCCATAGCCTACCTCGGTACATGCGAATGGCTCTCCAAGCACGAGACGTACACGACATGGGTTGAGTCCAACAGAGGCTTGCTCTGGATTAAGGGGGGTGCTGGGACCGGCAAGTCGACGCTCTTGAAGCACGCCATTGAAACCTACCAGCCTCACCAGGAAGGTCTCATCTTCTCCTTCTTCTTCCACAATCGTGGCAGCGAGCTTCAGAAGACCCCCCTAGGTCTCTTTCGCGCTCTTCTTCATCAGGTCATGTCCAAAATCCCCGCCGCCTTGCCAGAGTTTGTCGATCTCTTTCAGGAGAAGTCCAAGGGACCCGATGGCGGCTGGGAATGGGACCTGGAAGAGATAAAGCCCTTTTTCGCACGTGCTCTCATCAGAGTTCTCAAGTCCCGGCCGGTCTGGCTCTTCATCGACGCTCTGGACGAGTGCAGTAACAATGGTGCGCCCGCACTCGTCGCTTACATCAAGTCCCTCTACAACAACCTCCCGCCGGCGGACGGCAATATGTATCCCTTTCACATCTGCTACAGCTGTCGCCCGTACCCGGGCCTGGACAGGGGCGGCTTCGAGATATGCCCCGAGAGGGAGAATAGGCAAGATATCGCCAGCTTTGTGCAAGACTTACTCTTCTCGTACTGCGTCAAGTCGTCCAACGAGCTCCTTAATCTGATGTCGAGACGTGCCCTCGGCAACTTCATGTGGGCGCGCTTGGTGGCTGACCAGGTGGTGGAATTCAGCCGTAGCAGCCAGCACCAGGGTGACATGGAGCTGCAGATTGAGTCTATCCCGGTAAACCTCGACAGCCTGTACACCGATATGCTCGAGGGTCTCGGCCCCGCGTCGTTGAGGCTTTTCCAATGGCTGTGTTTCTCACTGTATTCCATGGCATTGGATGAATGGCGCTGGGCCATCGTTCTCGACCCGCTGGGCCCTCATCAATCATTGGCGGAGTACAAGTCGGCAGAAGACTACTTCGAGGACGACGAGGATCTCGAGAGACACTTGGAGGCGCTAGGCGGTGGCTTCGTCGAAATCGTGGATGCGGTCCGCGACCCAAGAGGTTTCAGATACCTGTCCAACCGGCCGAGGATTGTCCAATTCGTCCATCAATCCGTCAAGGACTTCTTTCTAACCCGGGGACTCGCGATCTTGGAGGCGTCATTGGCCGCTCCTGGTGGGAGAAAATTTTGTGGGGGCGGAGCTGAAGGAGCCGTCGAAAAGACAAGCTCTAGCGCCAGCCCTGAGAGGTCCGCCAGTGACATCAGCAGATTCGACGATGAGGTGGAGGATTCTGGTCATGCAGCTGAGGCTTTGGTCGACGAAAACAGCTCTGCCAAACCTTTTGAAGATGGCTCTATTAGCAAAGATGACGACTCTGCAAGCGCAGCAGAGAACCCCGTCGAGGAAACCATTGGATTAGGTCACTATCGACTATCCAGGCTCTGTCTTCACTACTTCAGCCTACCAGAGATGGGCCTTTCTTCAGACGTCAACCTCAAAAGCTTTCCTTTGACCCAATACGCTATACAGAACTGGATAGGCCACTTGCAACAATCCGATATCAGGGGTGTGTCCCAGGAAGACCTATTTCAATACCTCGACTGGCCCGCATCTTCTCTGTTTGAAAGGATCGAAAAACTCTCATTCAAGGTGCTATATTTTGGTCCATCAATATACACGCACGGGGGCAACTCGCTTTTGCACTTGGCGGCGAGATTCCGCCGCCCGAATCTCCTTCGGCAGCTTCTCGAGAAGGCTGACGAGATTGGCCTAGATGTCGACGCTAGGGATACCTCCCGAAACACAGCACTGCACTATGCCTGTGTAGCGGGCAACTTGGATGCGGTTAAGCTTCTTTGTCAACACAAGAATTACAAGGAGCTAGACTTGAAGAGCAAGTACCGTCATAGCCCTCTTTTTCTTGCTGTGCTATGGAAGCACCATGATGTTGCCAACTTTCTTCTTAATACGGGGGAGGTTGATACGTCGGTTTACACCCTTGGAGATCCGTGAATTAGCATAACAGCTCTAGAGCACAATGAAACATTAGCTTTCTCATCATCGTTAAGCCCAGATCACAATAAGGCCTTAGCTTATTCATTAAGAAACCTTTGCTAGCATTGATCATCTGTTTGTGTTATTGTATCGTTTTTCATCTAGCCAGGTTATGGCCTTGCATATAAAGGTGAGGTTATCCCGCGTTTGCTAGACGTGTGCCTGAGGCCAAACATCCGGTGCCGGAACAGTCTTCCTCTACTGATAAAAACACAATCTCAACTTGCCGAAGTCAAGCCGTGAGCCCTCGCGTTTTGTGCTTTCGATGGGGAGACTGGCAGCCTATTCATGCTGTTCATGGATAGAGGGAATGCGCATTTGCAAGCCACAAAGTCACTTGGGCGCAGCCTACTCCACGACGCCGTCAAGTTCAACCATCTTGAAGTTGCGAAACGGCGTTTAGACCCCTATAAAATGAATCCCAAGATCGCACATGGGCGTGGGTACACCCCGTTGCACCAAGCTATGAAAAAGGCAATCAAGCCATTGCACGCAGCTATTTCCAGTGAGAGCGATGACAGAATTAATCCCATCAACTGTCTACTAGACACTGGCAATGCCAACGCAATATCACAATCGGCCTTGGCGCCCGCCGATTATTTGGGCAATAATGCGCGGTGATGACGAAAAAGTTGAGTTTTTCCTCAAGACTAACCAGGTTGACGTAGATATGGTCTGTTTTCAGGGTCTGTTAGCGTAGATTGTGCCAAGGCGGTTGGTAATGCTACTAACATCATCGACCTGCTGGAGGCATCAGAATCTGGTTGAGAATTCTGTTGGAACTAGGAATTTACGTTATTGACGTCGCCAAACCAACGTCCATCGTAACAATTTGTTAAAACCTTTCACAACGCGAAAATGATGATATTCAAGAGCTAAGTTTCTAGCCTTGTGTCTATGGAAGCAATTGCAGTTCATATTTTTGTATTCTTAGGGACTCAGACCTAGCAAAACCGTTCCGGATCCATGAATGCTCATCGTGTAGCCTGTATTTGATCGCTCATCAAGTCGGCAAAGGTACCGACGACATCAAAAACGCCATTTTGCGCTTCGAATATGCAGTCGAAAATTGTTTTGATACCCACGTCAACCCGTCCGGATGGTGTGAACTCTCTTATTTTCTCGATAGCACGGGGCACATTATCAGAGTCGAAGAATGGCGTCTCATCAAGAAGCTCTTCGAGCTCTGTGAGGTTGGACACAGCTGGCACTGCAACATTCTTGGCGAAGTCCCGATCGACCTCGAGCATTCGAAGGACTGAAGGCTGAGAAGTCGTGGCGAAGACGACAAGGCGGTGGCCCTGGAGGAACGAGTTAGAGCACTCATATACAACTTGCTGAAAGTGGTGAGAATAAGACTTACCCTGGGAGGCTCGGAAATCACGAGCGTGGTCAAAATCTCCACCATCGTGGATGAATACCGAGGCCCAATGGGGCTCCACCCGATCAGCCGTTCGAAATCATCAAGAATAAGGATGCTAGCAGGAGACTTCCATGCGTCTGCGAACGCCTTGTGGATATGGTCCCTCTTGGCAAATTCATCCTTATAGCCAGCAAGATCAACCGGCCTGATCATTTTGACGAAAGGGAAGTCCGACATCATGGCAATGTGGGCAGCCAAAGCCGTCTTGCCCGACCCCTTGGGTCCGTGAAATAGTACTGAGGTGCTAAACTTATGAGGGTCCTCCCGGGCCGTCCTGACAGAACGTGACACAGCATCGATGTTGGCATTGACGTGCGTGCTATAGCGAGTCATAATGCCCAAGCGCACGGCGTTTTTCAGGTCCGCCTCGGACACGCCATAGGCCGGCCGGACCTCCCCTAGAGCTTGCATGAAGTCGTCGCGTTGCACCTTGATGTTGGCCACATCCTTTGGGTTGGCCATTTGGCCGACCTCAGTGTGCCTCGAAAAGGCGAAAGATGTCGCAGATCGGACGAGGCCATAAAGTTCAGCGCCGGAGAAATTTTTGGTGAGGGATGCGAGATTCTCCAGGTCAACGTCATCACCTAGCCTGCCGCCCTTTCTCTGCTTGGACGTATGGATGTTCAGAATCTGTAAACGCCCTGCCTCGTCTGGCAAGGAAATTTCAATGTGGACTTCCAAACGGCCCGGTCGCAAAAGAGCGTCGTCAATCATGTCCTTTCGGTTCGTCATGCCAATAAGCAGTATGTTGTTAAGCTGATCAACACCATCGAGTTTGGACAAAAGCTGGTTCACCACGCTGTCCCCGACACCCGTACCGCCTCCACTCCCAGATCCTCGTTGCTTACATACAGCGTCCAGCTCGTCGAAAATGATGATGTGGAGGCCACTCCTATCACCCTTCTCTTTGTATTCTTTCTCAGCGTCTCCAAACATCTTGCGGATATTCTCCTCAGACTGGCCAACATATTTGTTAAGGACTTCTGGGCCGTTTATTACCTTTGGAGGTCGGGCCTTCAACATTTTGCCAATCTGCCTGGCGATTAGAGTCTTGCCAGTTCCAGGAGGTCCATACAAAAGCATGCCCTTGACGTGGTTGATACCCATGTCTGCAACAAGTTGACGGTCAAAGACGCGAGACGCAAATGCTCGGCGAAATATGGTCGAGAACTCTTTGTCGAGGCCACCAATGCCCATGTCCTCGAACTTGAAATCCGGGGCCAGTATGGCATTGGCGCTCGGCTTGCCCGGAGCCGCATTCAGGGTTAGTTTCGAATCCGACTCGATGGTTTCGAGGCTAACTTTTGTCTTGCCCAGGAGAAGACTACCCCTGGCGTCGGGAGCTGTCTGGATGGGGTACTTTTCATTCCCAGATTTGGACTCAAGGGTCACTGATTTGACAATGAACAGAAGGCGGACGTCGCCGTGGTCGTCGGCAAACATCAGTATTCGCTGGCCAGGTGCAAGCGTGTGCTTATCGAACTTTTCGGCAAACTTCGACGTAAGAAACACCTCATCATACGTGGTCTCGAATGGTTCAGAAGCAAACATGACGTTCATTTCAACAAAGACCAAAGAGGACAGCGGGGGATCAGCTGATGGCGAGACTACCGCTACCTCCAGTATATCCGTCTGGGCTAGTTTCAACCAGAGACGCTGTTCCTGGGACAGGCTGATTTTGTTCTCGGGAAAGCCTTCATGTGTCTTTGCTTCGACAATATAGTCGATATGTTTTTGGCTGCCGTCGTCCGTTTGACGGCGAATCCGGAGCGGAAAGTGTCCTTTTCCCTCTTGCGCACGAAAGTTTCGAGGTGAAACGGCGCACCTGGATATCGTACTGTTAGTCGAGCATCAAAAACACCCTGTTTAAAAGAGGACCTACAGATTCGAATAAATGAATTCCTGCTGGAGTGGTTTTCCTTTTAATTTCTCAATCCCGAACCCACGCATCCATCCATTTGAGCTACCGCTCGATTTTTCAAAGCGTTCTGCTGGATTGGGAGGGGGGGGTTGAGCCATGGAAATTTCTCGGGGGTCTCTGTTCGCTCCGTTCCTGGAGGCATCGTAATTTGCGGAAACGGGATAGCCTGCAGGAGGAGCGTTTCCTCGGCTGGGGTACCCTTGGGAAGAGCTCATTCCTTGTGCGGGATTGAACCCCGAATTCGGTTGACGGTTGGGCGGGTAGCCTTGCGGAAGGCCATTGTAGCCACCTTGCTGAGAACGAGCGTTGGGGTTGGGCAACCCCTGGCCAGGTGGCAGCCTCGACATGATGACGTTGATCGGGCCAAGTGATAGCTGGTCGCTGAGGTCTGCGGATGAACGTGACGCAGAGATTGCTTAAATATTCGGTGACCTGTTGGGGTGCATGGGCCAGGAAGACTGAGATTATACGCCAAAGGGGAAGAGGGAAGAGGGAAGAGGTGGCGATGCAATGGTAGGAGCGGCGAATGTACATGTCCTGGAAGGGGGGGGGNTTAAATATTCGGTGACCTGTTGGGGTGCATGGGCCAGGAAGACTGAGATTATACGCCAAAGGGGAAGAGGGAAGAGGGAAGAGGTGGCGATGCAAGGGTAGTGGCGGCGTATGTACAAGTCCTGGAAGCGGGGGGGGGGGGGGGGGGGGCAAGACGAGAAGGGCGGAAGAAGTACGGAGTAATAGCTGGTACGGGGAACAGTCTCTCACTCTGGCAACTAATCTGTACTGCGCCGGGAAGCCCAGTGTCGAGGGATCAAAAGAAGTTTAGCGCCAGCATCATGGGACCAAAGAAGTCGCCACCCCCACCAATCATGCCCACGGTCCAGCTTTGAAGAGCTGTCTCAAGGCCAGGTTCTGACACGCAAAGAGCTTCTCTTCGAACGCATGACGAACATCTCCTAATTCGCAGTGTCACAAGGAAATGACGTGCAGCTGCTACACTTTCTAATTCCGCTGTAATCTGTACAACCATTTCCTTCCCCCGTCTGCCTGTTGGCTGAGAAACAACTAGAAGACTCTACCTGTACCTGTAGCTGTCCCCCTTAGCCGACGCTATGCCTCTGTATGCCCAGCAAAAACCATACCAGCTCACCACCCCCAGAGAAGAAACGCAGGACAGCATACTGATAACAGAGGATTAGTCATCTACTTGGAAAAAAGTCGTGGAACGTATACAATGCCGACAACATTGAGCGCGTGCGCCGCGACGAGGCAGCGGCCAAGGCGGCCGAGGAGGCCGAGGAGCAGCGCATGCAAGAGGTGGACGCTGAGCGTCGATTAGCCATTCTGCGTGGCGAAACGCCTCCTCCGCTACCGGCCGAGCCCGAGAAGGAAGATGCAGAAGGTTCGGCACGATATCCTCGCGCGCGATCAGCCCCCGGCGGCCGCAGGAAGCGCAAGAGGGCCGGCGAAGACGACACCGAATACGAGCTGCGCCTGGCCCGCGAGAGCAGACTCGAGTCGGCGTCGCAGCACCCCGACGATAACGGTGATGTGCGGCGGAGGAAGCCAACGAGCTCGGCACCCATAACCGACCGATCGGGACATATCGATCTCCTGGGCGACGACAAGGCCAGGGCCCGCGTGGAGAAGAACGAGGAGGCCGAGGCAGAAGCCGAGAAGGAGAGGCAAAAGTTGACAGACCAGTATACGATGCGGCTTGCCAACGCGGCGGGGAGGGACAGTCTCGGCAAGAACCCGTGGTATTCTCAGTCCGATGAGACCTCAGCAGCAGCGCAGCCGCAGCCGATGAAGGACGTGTGGGGCAACGACGATCCCAAGCGACGGGAGCGCGACAGTCGGCGCATCGCGTCGAGCGACCCGTTGGCCATGATGAAGAAGGGCGCCACGCAGGTGCGGGAGCTGAAGAGGGAGCGCAGGAAGTTCCAGGCTGAGAGAGAGGAAGAGCTAAGACAGCTGCGTCGGGAGCAACGTCGCAGCAGGAGGCACGATGGGAGAGACGGGTCACCCAGAGGTACCTCAAGCAGACGATACAGGTCCCGAGACCGAGAGGGTAGTGACCGCCATCGTCTCCGCAGGAGAAGTAGCCACAGAGACCGCGAAGAAGCGGGGGAGGGAGAAGAAGAAGAGAGGCGCCATCATCATCGCCAGAGGAGAAGCAGTCGCAGGGACGATGAAGAAAGAGAAGAAGAAGAAGAAGAGAGGCGTCGACACCGTCGCAGATCCCGTTCACCTCTTCGTGAATAATAATGTTCCTCAATTACATATATATATATACACACAGTAGATATCCAATAACAATGCCCAACAGCGTAAATCAACAGACAAGGGAAAAGAAAAGGAGGAAAGACGAGGGCCGTCCATCACAATCACTTGCCAGCAGCCCAAGGCAGCCTGATTTCCACCGGCCGCAAATCCTTTTCCACCATGTCGATCAGCTCCTTGATGCCCACCTTCTTCAGCGCGTCCAGGATGGCGCCGTACGTCCTGTCGCTGATGCCCTCCTTCCTGTCGCAATACACGTCGATCCCCTCCTTCGTGAAGACGGTGGGGGCGAACCACGTTACCGCCCACCGTTCCGTCACCTCCCCATCACCAGCACCGGTGGTGTCGTGCCCGCGGCCGCCGCCGCCGACGCCCACCGTGGCCTCACCCCAGGCCAGCACCTCCCAATGGCTCCCGACAAAGAAGAGCAGTCCCTTCCCGCGCCAGTCCCAGCCGCCCTCCCCGTCTCCCGTGTCGATGCCCTCGACGGTCTTGACCACGCCGGATTTCTTGCCGAGGGGCTCATACTCGACCAGGTCGTCGAGGCGCGTGGGTCCGCCCGACGACTTGGCGGGGAGCTTGGCGTAGGTGATGCGCACGTTGCGCGCGGACCGCCACATGCTCAGGGTCGAGTGCGTGACGGTCCATGTCCCCGACAGCCAGTCGACAGCTGGCGATGAGACTCCGGTGCTACTCGATGTGCCGGAATATTTCGAGGGGACGTCGATCGTTATGGGGTCCATCTCGCACGCACGTGCAGCGTGTGTGTATATGTGTATGTGTATGTATGTGTATGTGTGTGTGTGTGTGTGTGTGTGTCTTTGTCGCTTTCGAAAAGTAGAAGCTGTGGTCTTGGTTTTGGTGTCTTTTTTGTCTATAGTCGCTCTGACGTTTAAGGCGAGCAACTTTGATCCATCTTTGATAATATTAGAGGGGGGGGGGGGAATAATACAATAATAATAACAGAAAGGGAAAAAGGACAGGAGGAAATACGATGATTGTTCTTAGGTGAGAGAGAGCTGATGCTTTTCGAGCTAATGATGAAACAAGGACCCTTGTAGTCGGTCATGCCGGATCCATGAGTCTCCGACAAGAGCCCAGCCAGATCTACAATTGGCGGGTCGCGTAATCTCGCAAAAACCGTCCAGATAGAAATTCAATATATTCGTACTCGTACTCCGTACAGGAGATCCTGATCGACTATACGGATAGCCTTTTCCGTAATGAAGTCTAGGCATTTCTCCCCCTTCCCTGCTCTGGAAGCCCCCAATGTCGCTACTACTACTACGACTATTACTACGTAATACTGCCAGTACAGGCATAATACTATAGTCATTACATATACGAAGCAATAATTGCGCCCTCGGAACTGGCTCTACTTTGTAGGCTCTGTACAGGTTAAGCAGAACCCCACGACGTCACCGGGCCACCAATACGGGGAGGGAGGAGGGGGGGGGGGGGGGGGGGGGGGGGGGTGGAGACGACTGGACCCAGCCCAAGCTCGTTCCTCTTCACCGTGACATTCTCACCCAACCCTGCTTGGAAAAATCCAACCTCATCCGCGCTCACCGAACCAGCCCAACGACGAAACACGTCGTGCGCGCGCATACACACCGCCATAAGTGCATGATCCCTGCGCACACTTTCGTGCCTGACAAGACTTCTAGAATCCAGAGAAGAAAAAAAAAGGGGGAGAGAGAGAATTCTTCCCACATCTCAGCCAGGGGTTCCATTACCGACCGACCGCTCTTGTCAGGGTGGAAAAGAAAATAAGAAAGTGTGAAACCATGGATCTGGAAGGTGCAGACGGCGACGACGCCACCGCCGCCGCCATGGCCCAAATGATGGGCTTCTCTTCTTTCGGCGCCCAGGACCGCCCCCAGAAGAAGCGCAAGTACAACGCCGGCGCTGACGCTTCAGTGGCTGCCGCACCGGTATCAGCATCCACGGGGTCGAACTCTACGCCCCTAGGCTCCCGGTCGAGCGCTCCTACGGCTTCCACCAACACCGACGAGATTGGCCTAGACGACGAAGACGACGAAGACGACGAAGCGAGCCAAGGGCGAGAGGCCGCCGCACCTGCTCCGGTAGCAGCATCTCCTCGGCAGCCGCCGCCGCTACCACATGGACTACCTCAGCGTCCAGCCCCGGGAACAGGCTTCGTGGGCGACGCCTCAGTCTCCGTCCCGGCTCAGCAAGACGGCCAACTGCACCGTCACGCGTCGTCCCTGCCGCCGCCGCCGCCGCACCACGACACCGGTCAGCCCGGAACCCCGTGGTACGAGGGGTATTATGATACCCTGTCGAACCGGAATCCGTGGGAGAAGCTCGAAAAGGCCATCGGTCTGGAGGCGAAGGGGACATGGCTCACGCACCAAGATGGCTAGGCGGCGGCATGAGCACAGCACCCAACGTCAACTGGACCTGCTTCACACACCGCGGCATACAGTTGTATCCTCTGTCGACGATTTCTCCCTCCCCACTGTCCCCGGATATGAGCTGGCAATACCACCACAGATGATGTGTCACGTGACGTCCACCGCCAACGACATTCGAAGCCACCCACTTGCCCAGCCTCGCGCCCACAACCGCACATTCAGATCATGTGACGGAGAACAGTGCGTGTGGCATATACCGCCTCTACGGATGGCCGTCGACGCTGCTATGGGGTGCGTCAGCTACGAGAGGTGCGGGCTCCGGGTGATCTTGGCGCCGGAGCCGGAACAGGGGGTGGGCGAAGCTCAGCCTTTCACATCATGAGGGGTGTACGCTACGACAGAGGGGAGGTCACACTTTTCGTTGGCGTCCTCCCGAAAGGGTATACAGAGTATGGCATTGTCACTACGCCTACGGACAGGGTATACACATATATGGAAGAGCTAGAGGGGGGGGTGTGCGTGCGGCGCATCATGAACCGTCTTCCCTCCCCGGAAACAGATATCAAAAGGAACCAAACAAGGAAAAGCGCCGAATCGGAAAATGAAAAAGAAAAGAAAAGAAATATCCATGCCCGTCCTTTTCGTCCCACACCACGCATCTCCCCTCCAGACCAGATACCCAGCCACTCCCCCCTCCCCCCCTCCCCCCTCCTCTCCTCTCATCTCTCATCTGCACCTCTGGCAGGAACCCTCCCCACCGGAGTCCGTCTCGCACAGCTTACCAGGGAGTACGTCAGGATATCCAAACACCCCAAGGGACACCCAATCAGCTCGCGAAAACCCGCACTGGGTGGTCCCCCCACCGCTGCTGCTGCGTTGGCTAAAAGCAGCGAGAGATCTGGTTCTGACTGGCTGCAAGTTTGCCCGACGCCCACGTTTTTCTCTCTCTCTACCCCAGTTTCGGCTCTTCGGCTCGTGCCGTAATGGGGGAGGCGTGTGCGTAAAGCCAAGGGGGGGGGGGGGGACATCCATGTACAACAATAATAGAAAAGTGCAGAGCCTCATTTTCACATCAACACCCTTCCTTGATGGCGAACACCTGGCGATTTGTGCCCCGTTTTTTTCTGCTTCTCAAAAAAAGGGTCGAACGTCGCTTACACCCTCTTTTTTTTCTTCCTGTAGCCGCTTGTTTTGTTTTGTTTTTGTCGTGAAAGTCGTGAAAGTCATGGAGGAAATTATTACCGGAAAAAAAAGAAAAGAAAAAAAACCCGCCGGAATTATTTATACTGATGAGACCTCGAAAAATTACCAGAAACAAAACACGCGCCCTCCGCTTTACTCGGGAGAAGGGTAGCGAGCGCGAGCCTTGGCGTACTCCTTTGGGTGCTTGCTAGAAGCCTTTGTCTGGAGAGAGCTGTGTGGTGTTAATTGATCTGTTCGAAAGTGGCGGGAGACGAGAGGGGGTGGGAAGATGATGGGGAAACTTACGAAACCTTCTTCTGCGTCCACTCGAGATCAGCACGCACCTCGCGAGCGTCACGCATCCCCTCTTGGAAGCGCTCACGGGTCCTTGCGAGACGGGCCTGAGCTTGGGCCTGGAGCTCCATAAGCTCGCGGTTCTTGGCGTTGAGCTTACCAGATCTAAAGGGGGGGGGTGCACGTGTTAGTCTCGGGATCGACGTCACTATCGAAAAGATACTACTTCACACGGCAGAGAAAAGGGACCAAACATGAAGGTCTGAATCTTTTTTCTCTCTCTTTCTCCCCTCTTTCTCTGCGACCTCTGAGACAGAGAGGCAGAGAGGGAGAGTCGAAAGAAGGAGGAGGAGGAGGAGGAGGAGGAGGAGGAAACTCACGTCTGAGCCTGGACAGCCATACTACGATCCAGAGGGATGGGGTTGAAAGAGGTAGAGAACCGATCATGCATGTACTCCTGGAAGTCGACGCCGGCAGCCGAGTTGGAGCTGTCGTAGTCGGCGGCAGAGGAGCCAGACGAGCCCATGTATCCCGGGGTAGTGGCTGAGTAGCCCGAGGGAACGCCCGAGGTCTGGCTCATGGTCTCATCACACTCGTTGGGAGAGGTGGAGTATTGGCTGTAGGCAGGGTACTGGGGGTCCTTGGCCGGCATGGCAGCCGACATGGAGTAGGAGGTTGTGTAGTGGGAAGACATGATGATGATGATGTGGGTGGGTGGGTGTGTGGGTGGGCGTGTGGCTCAAGGTGAGACAGGATGTTTCTGTGTGTGGGGAGAGTTTGTATAAGAAGGACAAGCTGTGGAACGGTGTGATGATGAGGAGGAGGAGAGTGATATGGAAGGAAGAAGGAGGAATTGAATCAGACCCGATCAACTTGACCCCTTTTATACTTTTTTCGAGCAACCACCATTAGGGGAGCTCCAAGGATCCTGCTGACATTGAGGGCAACGGAACCCCGCTCTCTCTCGCGCTCTCTCTCTCTATCTCTCTCTCTCCTTCTCCTGGAAAGGGTAAGAAGGGGACGATGATAGGGGGGTGAGGGGGACCCAAGTAACGGATGATGACGGCTAACGACGTATTGTGCGTGTGGCTCTGCGCGGTACCATTGTCCCTACATGTCAACCAACGGGAAATCCATAAAAAGAGACTAAGAAGGATCCGTGATTGGCATTGGTAGAGTGATACTAGGCAACGGAAAAGGAAAAAAAAGGGTATCACGGTACGAGAGGAGGAGGAATGGGGGGGGTGTCTTGAGGAACGAGATCCCGCGATGGAAGCGGCGAACGAATCACGGGCTACCTCGTGGACGGTGGAGAAGACTTTTTTTTTCCTCCCTCCCGTAACGGCCGAGAGGAAAGGACAGAAAGGAGAGGACGAGTCTGGAGTTTACGGGCTGGGCCACTTACTAGAGGCTTGCCACAACTGGGGCACCACCAGTACGGGATGTGCTGGGTGCAGTTGGTGGTGGCACTTTGATACATGAGTGGTAATATCGGTAAAGAGAACACTAGGGAGAGAGAGAATGGGGCATAGGAAAGGATTGATACATTAGCAGATGAAGTACATGGGTTAGAATGGGACTACATTAGTAGGGAAAGTGCGTAGTTAAGATGGGACTACGTTAGTAGAGAAATAATACATGGGAAAAAAAAACACTTTTTTTTTTTGAATAAAACGACGATTAATACCCGGTACCGCCAGTGGATCATGGTCCCTTGGTGGTGGTGGGACAAGGGGGGTGTGGGGGTAGGCAGGGGTTGGTGGTCATGATCGAAAAAAAAAGAGACCAGAGAGAAAATATGGAGATGAGGATTTGTCTAAGAGCTTGTATGTAGGTGTGGGTGTGGGCAGATCGAGACACGCCAGACAGAGAGAACTGCAGTGCTAAGACTGGTAGGTATCAGTCGAGATGTTGAAGAATCAAAGCAGCGTTGGATTATACCCTCCGGGTGTGTGCGTGTGCGTGTGCGTGTATGTGTTGAGGTAGACAAGGAGGCGAAATAGTCTTGGTGAGGGGTGTGTGTCGGGAGAGGAGGTAGATGACGTGGGGACGGAGTCCGTAAGTGGGACGGAGTCGTGAGGAGGAGAAAGAGGGAAGGGGAAAAAAAGCGGGCAAGGCGAGTCGTCAGAGTCTAGACACGGTGGAGGAGTCGGGGCCATACATGGTCATGGATGGAATCCGAAGCTTCCAATGGACCATCGGGCAGGGCTGCAGGACGCCGAGGCACACTACAATCGAGTATGAGGGAGTTGTGGGTTTGGATGAGATGCGGTGCTTTGTTGTCAAGCTCGGGTGTGTATGGAGTGATTTCTGCATCGTCTGAGCACCGAGCGAGTAATGCTGAGTGTTGTTGAGTGTTGAGGGTGTTTGTCCATATTCCACACATTGTACATTTCAGTCCATGCCAGTTGTGGACGGCAAGTTGACTGTTGAATCAGAATCGGGGCAGTATCTGGTGATGGGTGATCTTGCTACTACTACTACTACTACTACTACTGATAATAATAATGATAATATCATTATCAGTACGCTGCTGCTGATCATAAGAGAGCACACGTATTCGTGGTGAGGACAGAGAATACCCATTGGCCACGCACAAACGACTTCTGATACGAAGTGACGAAGAAGAAGAAAGAGAAGAAAGAGAAGAAGGTCTACCTTTATTTTGATCTTGATTGATGTATATATTTTACAAATCACCATTGGTCAAAAATGGGGGGAGGAGAAGACATCAACGGTGGATGGTCCGATGGTGGCTCTGAGATGTCGATATCCGTTCAATTGTCTTGGGAAAGTTGAAAAGGGAGGGTGGGGTGGGGGAGTCTCCCAAATCTCCCATTTTTGCCCTGCCCCTCCCCCGCCTCACTTGATCCTTCTCCGCCACTTTTTTTTTTTTTTTTAACTCTTCTTCCCCGACTCTGACCCTGACCAAGACACACATTGAAACACACGAAGCACAGAAAGACAGTTTACCCTATCATGTTTACATTGTATAGAGGGTCTCTGTTTCCTTCATCTTGAAACTTCACCCTCACTACTGTCTACTGACCCGTTGTCGTGCTGCGACACCAGGGGTAGAGTGATAACACAACCACAGCAACGACGACGAAAGAAAAATGACACGTGTGCTGCTGCCAATATGACGGGCTGGGCATACATGTACACAGACTGGAGCTCTACAACGGTGTACAGGTCACCCCTGCCGCTTCACATCGTATCACCGAGTACGAGTACATGTTAACCTCTGGACATTCTCGGAATTTCCAATCTCGCTCCTCAAAAGAGGGGCGTATGTGGGTGGGACGTGTCGCCCGGGTAGGAGGAGGAGGAGGGGGGGAGAACAAGTTGAGATGGGTGGGATTGCTTCTCAGGCAAGTACATGTCATGACGTGCGTCTCAGCAGTCTAGAGTATGATGAGTGCCAATGGGTGTCTGCTTGTATTGTATAACGAGCCAGACAGAGAAGTGCTATCATGTCAGAGTCATACCCTTGGAGTTACCCATCCCGGATAGCTGACATATACATGTACAAGGCACTCAACCCCAAGCCCCCCCTCCTCCCCTTAAAATAAAATGATAAAGAATGATGAGAAATAAAAAAGAATGAATACATTCTCAAAGTGCACATATATACATATATGGGATGCACATTCTCAACCTGTCCCACGCCCAAAAAAAAAACCCCCAATGATACAGTACCGACCTGCCAGCCACATGATGTGCAGGACGCTTTGCCAACGTAGACACGGACGCATGGGGTTTCTGTCACTGCAGCTATCCTCGGTTCGTCCTGAACTCCTCTCAGGAATACTTGCTTCCATACTGCCTGAAGGGGACGCGCCGTTCTACTACGAGCCAGGATACTCTTCCATCTCCCGATATACAGCTCATCATGTACAGCTCGACACACAAGACACCCGAACATCGTCGCACCGAGACAGACATATCCGAGAACTCGCACTCTTCACCTTCTCTCTCTCTCTCTTCTCAATCAGGATCAGAAATCAAATCTGCCGTGCTCGTTTTCCAAACACTGACCAATGTACACGCCTCCTCCACCAAGCAATGCCAACTCACAACCAACCGACAAAAAGGTGGGGATCACACCTAGTAACAACTTTCACTACTTCTTCTTCTTCTTCTTCTTCTATACCTTTTCTTCTGTACCTTCTCTTTCTAAACCTTTCTTCCTATCCCTTTTCTTCTATGCGTCCCGAGTGTGTCGTGATTTGCCCCTTCCATCTCCAACCAATTGGTCATGTCCTGATGGTTAAGCTCTTAACTCCCCCCCCTCCACCCCTCCCCCCCTCCCATGCAGCAATCCAGGTCCCTGACGTGTAAGTACATTGCGTGTTTGATGATGGGGCATCATCTCATAGGACCAAACGGCGTTGCAACCTACGTATGTCTATGTACACACTTCACCTTTTTCTTCTCTACATGGAGTATGAGAGGCAAGAAAAAAAAAAGAAGAAAAATCCAAGAGACCGATACAGAAGATGGAGAAGAGAAAAAAATTGTATATATATAAATATAATGAAGGAAATCTCCCGTCCTACATACAGACGGGGTCCTCGTGACATGACTGTTCGCAGTCTGCTTATCAGACTTCTCGGTTGCCTGTCGTGAGATGTACGCCTCGTCGACGGTTTGCGTACGACTTCAACTTGTCGAGCTACGGACCGTGTGATGCAGCCCAGCGTACAAGGTGGCGGTGAGCACACTGAAAGAAGAAGAAAATTCAGGTTTCATTACTTCCAAGTCCTCGGAGAGATATAGAAATATATAGGGAAGGAGGAAGAAGAGAGAAAAGATTTATGTTATCAGAGAAGAAGAAAAAGAAAGGTTGGAACTATAGAGGAGAGTAGTGAAGAGAGGGAGAGAACCATGTCCCCGGGCATATACACTCATCATGCAATCGTTTCAGACCACCAGAGAAGGGAAGGAAAAAAAAGCCTCTTTCTGTTGTACAAGCAATAAACACACCTTATGTGTAACCTCCAACCCGTATTTACATCACCTAAAAATGCCTTATTCCGTTTTTTTCTTTTTTCTTTTTTCATCTACTGGATTCCTCAAGTAAGAACTTTGAGGAACCCCCACATTCCCGCGCCGCTTAGAACGGGAATGGTCAGATTGTCGTCCCAACCAAACAGGTCGGCGAGCTCGCTGACCGAGGCCATGAGCCCGGACCACAGGCTCATGACGCCCAGGGCCAAGGAGCCCGAGATGGAGGCCTGGCCAGGCTCGTGGAAGCCGAGGGCGCTGGCCACCGAGGTGGGGAGGGACAGCACGCCCTTGAACATGAAAGCCTCGTCGCCGGGCATGGGGCCCACGCTGGGGACGAGCCATCCGTAGAAGAAGTACGACGTGGCTACGCCGACCACAAAGGCCGCCAGGGACCCGGCGAGCGACTTGCCCTTGCGCAGGCGCGGCGTGTACCGGCCCCAGAGACGGCCAAACGTGCTGGCGGCCGTGTCGCACCAGCTGAGGAGCATGACGCTCATGACGCCCAGGTCCTTGGGGAGGAAGTAGAGTACGAGCCAGGCGCCCAGGAGGTAGAAGATGACGCCGTTCCAGCCAGAGTACTCGCTCTCGCGCATCAGCGCCCCCAGAGCCCGCACGTACACCCTGTTGACCGAGGCGTACCGGTGGCGAAGCCAGTCCGTCACCGTGATGGGGATCAGCGCCGACATGAGGTAGGGCGCCACCGAGCTCGTCTGCGTCCCCCCGACGTACAGCCAGACGACGAAGAAGCCGATCGACACGTGGAGCGCCTTGCGGGGCACCTCGTGCTTGTGCACAAACGTCCGCCAGTGCCGGTGGATCGGAATCAGGCCCAGCGGGCTCGGGCTGCGGCTCAGGTCGCGCCAGGTCCACCCCGCCGCCACCGTGGGTTGCGGCGGCGCGAGGTGGCCATTCATCGTGGTCACCTTGCCGTCGTGGTCGGAGTCGGTGGTGGGTGACTTGGGCTCCTCTTCCTGTATGGGTGCCGGCTTGACGGCGGCCTGCTTGCTGCGCGTCGTCATGCGCTGCGACGGCAGTGCGTCGATGGGAGACCGGCTTCGGGTGCGAGATCGTCGGGACGGGGTGGCGGAACCGTTGACGTCGGCGTCGGCGTCGTCGTCGATCCCGTCATCTTCGCCAGGGCGAGGTCTGCGCTTCTTAGCCGCCGACCGCGTCACAGGTCCACCGTACATGGTATCCCGGTCCGTCTCGGGGGGGTCGGGCGACGGCGAGACGACTCTAGGGCTGGCCGGTATGCCCGCCTTACGGCGACGGGTGGCTGCTGCCATGACCAGCGGAGGGAAAGGTAGGAGGGCGGGGCTCGAGATGGCACCCACGATCGGGCGGCTGCTGGGACAACAGCTGAGACGACCCCAAGGCCAAGATGTGCTGTGCTGTTTGGATGTGGAGCAGAGACGTAGGTCGCGGCGCGACGGGCGCTGCGTCTGAGGTGAAGGGGGGGAAGGTGAGGACGACGATGCACGACGGCGATCCAGGCGATTCCGCGCCGGCGACGACGATGATGGCGGATTACGAGGTGGGGGGGGAGGGTGGTGTGAAGCCGTGGCTCTTATCGGATCCAGATTGATGCTTGTCGATGATGCAACAGAGGAAGTCTCCCCCGCCGCATGTCGGACGATGGAAGGAGATGGAGGAAACGGTGAGCGGGAACTCGCACATGCGCGCTCCTGCGAGAGGAAAGAGGGCGATGATATTGGGGGAGGAATGATGGAGCCGGGTGCCCTGTAGGCTGGTGTGGGCGATGGCGTGTGCTGGTTGGGTCGCTACCTGTCACGAGCTGGTAGTAGGTAATATTACCATCGAGGCATACGGGATTAGGGGATAGGCGGCGAGCAGCAACGACAGTAAGCAAGCGCAGCGAGAATTTTTTTTTTTTAATGCTAAGCGACGGTCAGGAGCCGTCAGACCGTTTTGGGAGTGGCGCCGACTGGCCGCCCCAGTTAGTTGTTTGTTGACCAAATGCATGTGACTGCCAAGTAGCCTAACGGAAAGGACTTTTCGTCATTGTACTGCAGAAATCGACGTCATCCTTTTCCCCCCCCGTCTCGCTTTCTTTCTAGACATTCTAACAGATGGAATAGAGAGGAAAACGATGCGAAGGAAATAGTCACAACATATTCATTTCCCGCAAGATACCGACCCTTCCGCGAGACCGCCTCTGCTCTTCTTCTTCTTCCGGGCTTTCGGCCATCTACTAGTTCCGGCGGCAGACTTGAACGTCAAACGAGACCCACGTTAATACGCGACTGCGCATTAGACGATACCGCTAGTAGAAGTACCCAATGCCGAGGTCACGTTAGTCCGTGGCAGTATACCGTCATGGATTACAGCTTTGCGAGGACTAATACTACCACTAATACTACCCACAAGGGAAGCAGCGTAAAAAACGTTAGCTTCCATTCTTATTACTTTCTTATCAAGCCAATCCGTGGAGAGAGTTTTGTGGAACTTCAAAGGAAATGAGTGTTAAAGCACATCTTCCACTCATTTGACGGTATGAGAGAAAATTTCCGGCGGCTATGCCACTGCACAATCACAAGCCACAGGGTCTGGCTGGCGAATATTAGTCAGTCAGTTTATCCTCAAGAGATTGTATTATCGATAACAGGGGTTTTTTTTTTTTTTTTGGGGGGGGGGGGGAGGTTTCCTTCCTGTCCTCGATAAGATAAGAGACGGAAAAAAAAAGTCATCATTCGGTCGCATTATGCCCATCACGAAGCCTAGACTGGGCGCAAGCATTGCTAACAACACAAACAAACGCAATGGCACCTGGTAAAGCCGGTGCTGGTGTGCGCAATGCCAGAGCGTGGAATTCTCTCAAGCCCCCGCTGGCGGAATGGATCCTCGAGGCCGTGTCTACCATGGGTTTCAAGCAGATGACACCTGTGCAGGCGGCGTCTGTCCCGCACTTTCTGGGCAACAAGGATGTCGTCGTCGAGGTATGTCTCTTCCCCCCCCCCCTCCTGCAACGACCCATGAAATACCCGAGAACGAACTTGAGAGAGAGAGAAACGTCTGTCTGACAAACGCAAAAAAAATTTGTTCTTTTAAAAAAAATAACAGGCCGTCACTGGCAGTGGCAAGACGCTAGCCTACCTACTACCTGTGGTGCAGAAGCTGTTGCGCCTCGAAGAGCCCACGAAGCGCCATCACGTAGGAGCCATCATCGTCGCACCGACCCGCGAGCTCTCGATGCAGATCCACTCGGTGCTCACGTCGCTGCTCAAGTTCCACGCCCCCTCGGCCGAGATCCTACCGCAGCTCAAGGGTGAGGAGAAGCGCGAGGCCTCGACGGCACCGGTCATCGTGCCTCAGCTGGTCGTGGGAGGCAGCACGACGACGGTGGCGCAGGACCTCAGCTTCTTCCTGCGGCACAGCCCCAACGTGCTCATCGGGTCCCCCGGGCGCCTGGTTGAGCTTCTGTCGTCACCGCACGTGCACTGCCCTCAGTCGTCGTTCGAGATGCTCGTCCTCGACGAGGCAGACCGGCTGCTGGACCTGGGCTTCAAGCCGGACCTGCAGAGCATCCTGGGTCAGATCCCGAAGCAGAGGCGCACGGGGCTCTTCAGCGCCAGCGTCAGTGAGGCCGTGGGTGAGATCATCCGCGTCGGCCTCCGCAACCCCGTCAAGATCGAGGTCAAGGTCAAGATGAAGGACGGCGGCGGCGTCATCCTCGAAGACAGGAGGACCCCCGCTAGCCTACAGATGTGCTACATGGTGAAGCAGGCCAGTCACAAGCTCCCCGCGCTGGCGAACCTGCTCGAGCGCCTGCCCCAGCGGCCCCAGCGCAGCATCGTCTTCCTTTCGACGTGCGCCGCGGTTGACTACTTCCAACACGTGCTGGCCGGCATCCTGCCCGCAGGCTTCTCGCTCATCCCGCTCCACGGAAAACACCCAGCCAAGGTACGCGAGAAAAACTTTGGCCAGTTCGTCTCGTCCGTGTCGCCCTCCGTGCTGCTGACGACGGATCTGGCGGCCCGCGGCCTCGACATCCCGCAAGTTGACCTGGTCGTACAGGTGGACGCGCCCTCGGATCCCAAGGTCTTCATACACCGGAGCGGGCGCGCGGGCCGTGCGGGACGCAAGGGCCTCGCCGTCGTCATGCTCCACCCGGGGCCGGAAGAGGACTACGTGCGGTTCCTTGACATCCGCAAGACGCCCATCGCACCCCTCGAGAGGCCCAAGGTGACGACGACGCAGGAGGAGGCCGACGAGGTATCGGAAAAGATCCGCAGCTTGGTCAGGACCGACCGCGCCCTCCACGACAAAGCCCAGCGGGCCTTCGTCAGCTGGGTGCGCAGCTACGTCGCCCACCAGGCCACGTCCATCTTCCGCGCGGGGGAGCTGGACTGGGCCGACCTAGGCCGGGCCTGGGGTCTGCTCCGCCTGCCCAGGATGCCGGAGAGCAAGACGTGGGAGGGCGACCGGTCCCTGGGCGTGGAGGTGGACTGGGACTCGTACGCCTACAAGGACAAGGCGCGCGAGCAGGCCAGGAGGGAGGCGCTAGAGAACCCGGAACACCAGGCCAGGAAGGAGAGGGAGGCCGAGAGCCGCAAGCGCAAGAAGAGCAGCAACGATGCCTGGAGCGTGAAGCACGGCAAGGAGGAGGAGAGGGTCGAGAGGAGGGAGAAGCGCCACAAGCGTCGCGACGCAGAGAGGCAAGCCAAGATGACGGACGAGGAGAAGCTGAAGCAGGCTGAGCTGGGTGATCTGATCAAGCAGGTTCGCTTGCAGAACCAGGCCAAGACCAAGGCTGCTGCTGCCGATGAGGAGTTTACCGGGTTTGATGACTAACATGACATCTATGGAGTACTATATCACTACTTTTTGCTCTTCTCTTCTTTTTTTACGGATAACATACCCTCGAGTGAGGACAGCAGCAACAGAGAGAGAGAAATAAACATAATGGGGGAAAAAAGAAGAGGGAAAAAAAAAGGAAACGATATCTTCTAAACCGCAAGGATCATGATAATATTGACTGTCGACGTTGTATGCTCTATAACGATGTGAGCACTACTTTCGATTGCATCATATGGAATCCGGAGAGTTTTGAGATGGACTGCAAAGGCATACTCTTTATACGTGTAGATATGTAGGAATGACTGCACGCATACAATGTGTACCACTACCGCAACGCTTTGTAACGTCAACTGCGCAATACAGACGGGCTAACGGTTGTATCTCTGCGACGGGGCAGGCCCAACATGTTGAGGGCTTGCTTCTTAACCAACAGCCGTGCATGAGCATCGTCCTCCCCTGCTACATCCGTCTATGCTCATGTGACATGAAGGAGAGTAGCATGGGGGAGGGGGGGAGTTCCCCAATCCGTGACCTCTCACCTCGTCGTCACAGTGATCATAGACTCTCTTCCTGTCTCCCATCCTTGTGGGAGCTCCTCTATACACCTTGTCTTCAAAGCAAAAACCCTACACCGGCTCCCGGATAGAGGATCATCCGCAGGTGTTTCTCTGGCCAAGCATGGGTACGCATGCACAAGTCCGAGCGAGAGAGTTCCATCAACAAGCTTACGCAGTTATCACACACACACGGCACGAGGCTCGCTCGCGTACGGGTGACGGGTGACGAGACTTGCCGTGCGATGCGGGCCAACGCCCCGGGCCGGTTTCGCAGTCGCGCACAACAATACCACTAGTAGCAATGATGCCAGGTAATGAATCCGACCCATGCATCCCGTATATTGGCAAAAAATATAAGCGAGTCGAAGTTGACAGAGAGAAAGACCTCCGGCCGCGTCAGCAAGCAAGGTTCCGCTACTCGAGATGAGTTACATTGACGTATATCTTGAAGAGGGGGAGGGAGAAAGGGGGGGGGGTAAGAGGCGTATTATTACAAGATGCTATACTCCGTAGTCTGTAATCTGTATTATCACTGGTTTCACTCATCATGATCGGGGGAGAGGGGGGAATGGTGGAGCACCTGGGGTGTCGGCCTGGAAGATACCCTACACCTGGGAGCTGACTTAGGTTGGTGAGAACTTCAGATTTCGGATTTCCGTCGGACTGCACTGCACTGCCAGAGAGTGTCAAGCGGGCCGCGGAGCGGCTAGAGCGGGAAACCCTCGGGTCCATCCGCTGCACCAGTCGTCTGGTGATATCACTGAATGGAGGAAAAGGCTCACGACGAAGTATTCAATGGGGTCGGAGTTGAGTTTCGACAAGTCTCCGTAGTGCAGAGTTCAAAAGTCGACGAATGCTACCGTGTTTTGCATATCAACCTCCCCCTCCCCCGGGTAGCAGTCAATCGTGATAATGACTTGCCAATTATAGTCACGATAGCCGTTGATGCATGGCGGACCATCTAAGGAGTACTATTGTCAAAAAACAAATAATAAAAATAAAATAAAATAAAATATTCTGGCATGCATGGCTGATGGAGACCATGTACGAGCATGAGTACGGTACATGCAACTACATGTAGTCTACCGCATGTGTCGATACTCGGCAATTGGCTATGAAACATTCCAAGCGTGTCCTTTAGGTTTCGATTGATTTTGACCCTGCATCCTTAGGGCTGCTGCTGCTACTGCTACTTGTTCATATGACGGGGAGAAATTTTCAAATCGTCCTTGTTCGTACATGTATGCATGCGGGGGGAGAGGGGGGAGGAAGGGGGGTTGGGGGTTGGGGGTTAGGGGTTTGTTAAGCGCTCCTCTCTACAGACAAGGACTCTACTCCGTATTTCTCTCTTCCTCTCTCTCTTACGGTTGTACGTCGTATTATGGAGAAAAAGATTTCCAGACTAGTGGAGAGAAAAAGGAGAGGAAAGAAAAGAAAGATGAAAAAATAAAATAAAATAAAAGCGCGACGACACCATGCAACACACTGATGCATGTACATGTATTGTGATACTCTAGACCTAATCGGGGCATAAGGTAGGAGGAGTAGCCTGTAGGTAATCTGTACAGAGTAGCATGCGGTTGCAGAAATCTGGCGAGAGAGAGAGAAAGAAAGGGGAGGAGGACTTTCTCTTTACACCAGATGGTAGAGTATCATGTATTGTAAGGTTGCAGGGAAAGAAAAAAAACACGTATTCATATCGCTCATCTCATGGTCCAGGCCCTCGTGGGAAGAGGGGAGGGCGGGAGGAGGAGCGGGCGGAAGAGAACAGGAGGGGAGGAGGAGGGGAGGGAGGGGAGGAGGGGAGGAAAGGGAGGAAAGGGAGGAGAGGGAAACCTGGGATGGGAGGTCATCTCGTGGTCTTTGCGCCCGGCGCGAGTCGATGGGACCCGATGGCTTCCAATCGAATCGGACGGAGGATAGATGGAGGAGGCAGGGATCGTTGGTACTACGAGCAGCGATGCAGGTAACATATGGCGTATCGGCGTACGGAGTAATGTGCATGTGCATACGTGTATGTGGCATTATTGTTACAAAGATACCCGTACTCGTGCAGGTCTACGTCGGAGTCACACACATATCCATGTACCACAGGCGGGAAAACCGTCACGCCAAGATTGCTGCTGTTACGAGCGCATACGATACACATACCGGTTCGGGGTGTGCGAGTACGGGCGAGTACGAGCAGGTGTGCTTCATCAGGGGCATATCGGTGGTTGGACAGGTTGAAGGAAAAAGAAGAGAAGAAAACAAGGATCGGAACTCTGGCAGTCTATTGTCTCTACAAGCATCCTCATGAATGTATGGAGTATGAATAACCTGTACAGATTACTTGTCCACTCGTTGTCGATGGCACAGTGCAGCATCGATATCACCTCACATATCTAGAAACTTGTACCTACGTACGGTCGTAGTGGGCTAATTACATGGGGATTGATGCCAGGGACTAGTATTGATACTGTGTATCTGAACTCCACTGGTGGCCCTCCGTGCAGCGCACGTGTGATGCGTATATGTACTCACTCGTATGCAGATAGGTTTATAGTCGAAGTCTCTGACGTCTGTTCAGAGGAAAGAAAGAAGCTATCTTCAAGTTGGTGCATCGGATGATGGACAGAGGAATCATCACGATGCCCCCCTCCCCCTTGAGTGCAAGTCACGTGGGCCACGGAGATGAGGCTTTTCTGGAAGCACAGTCATCTATCTGTACCTATTAATCTGTACAGATTATATGTATATGTATGTATATGTACTTGCCCCTCCCCTCTGGCACATGGCTCCAGTAACACTACCTACCTGTATCTGTATTAGCTTGTGCTGTGCTCATGTTTCCTGTCGAGCCTCTTTCCCCTCTTCGTGATCCCTTCCAATTACGTAGGGAAGAAGACGAGAGAGAGAGAGGGAGAGTGAGAGATGAAACAGAGATACATGGAGGTTAGGAGGGAGAGAGCATCGGCCTGGGGTCAGACAAGGATACAATGTGCCGTGGCTCTCTCATCTGTGTCAGGTTCTGACGTTGTTTCGGCCAATGGCAATGGCCAATTCCAAATGACACAAGTTTCATCCAGAAGAGGGGAGGGGGATGAGAAAGGGGGGGAGGAAGAAGGAGAAACAAGTTACACCACGACAAGCCTTTGGGATTCAAATTCTTGACTTCGTCCCATATCCTGCTTGTCCAATCGACTGGCTTCTTCTTATTTCCGTCAATACGCCAGTTTGACGTTATAGTCTGCCGTGCTAAGGACCAACAACGCCGGGAGAGACAGAGAAGAGAGAAAGGAAGGAAGCCCGAAGAGAGGGGAGAGGGAGAAGAGCAGAGGAGCAAGAGGGAGGGAGATGATAGATGCTAGTACTCGTCTAATTTGCCCCCGTGGGCGATTGATTCTCACTATCCATGCTTCCGGACCGTCCCCTTGGGTCACAGGGCTCCATAAACACCGTACATGTATTGACATTCCGCTGTACTAGTGGTGTCAATGGGCAATGGGGTCTAGTCCTCGGCCAGCCTCTCTGTGTTCTTTCTTCTTCTTTTCTCCCCCCCCCCTGACTTGTTGATGCGTCAATGCTGCCAATGTACGGGCACTATGATAGTAGGAGGAGTATGGTATCGTTTACCTCGGGTAGCTGCGTAGGTGTGTATTGATACTACCTCGTACATGTTTATGACGACCATCACCGACCTTCCGATACAACTCAATGTAATCTGTACATTGCAGTGCACATTAATACGGCTGTGATATTGCGATACCGTGGTCCATATGTTGCAGAGAGTATTGCCCACGTACATGTAGGCCACCGTAATATCGGTAGGGATCGATACGGTGGAGAGTCGAGCGTGACCCACGAGAGTTACATATACCGAGTACAGATTAGACTGTATCACGACCCGTCTACGGTATTACTCCATACGTACAGATCACTATCAGCAGAGTAATCTGTCGGAGCAGTAACGGCTGTTAATACCAGACAATTCCTGGCCGTGCTCGTAATACGGAGCGGAGGCAGGACATGATCAAGTCCGAGCTGTACGAGTACGGCCGCCCATGGTCTTGCCATATTGCATGCACAGATTAGCTGTCGTAAGCTGCCATTTGCTGATACTAGCTACTATGAATCTGCACAGATCGTAGTGCTACGAGTAATCTGCATAGGCAGACCAAACACTCTCAATCATACGAGTACATACCCGTATATGTAGTGCGTCAATGCTCAGGGGCATTGACAAGACCGATGCTCCGTACCCGTACAGATTATTGCCAGTTAGTAGCAGCGACGATGCTACCAGTATTGACCTCCGATAGAAGTAGATGATGTTTGCCACCGTCGTATAAACACGCTATCATAATATCATGCATATGAATACCTAGCAGCACGGCAGGTGATACGACGTATCGACGACTTGTGTGTGTGCAGATTATGATAATACCTTGATAGAGTCTAGTCATGACTGCTACTCTACAGATCAGTATCACTGTCGTGGCCGTGGTCCTGGTAATTTGGAGCCTCTGCCTCGGATCCTTGACCGACAGTGCCGGAAACTGTACGGAGCATGTTGATCTCACCAACCGCCGCTACAGAGTCTGCGCAGTTTAGACAATAAAACGACAATCTGCAAGCAAGGATACATCCCCAATCATGTAGCAGTACATGAGACGGACACCATGATGAGATCTCTGGATAGGTATCAGATACTGACCGTCTCCAGAACCCTCAGGTACCTACCCCACCGCCAACGCCCCCCCTTCCGATGACCTAGTATCTCTCTACTCCGTAATCTGTAATCTGTACTCCGTACACCTACTCGTACTGATAATATTATCCTTATATATGCAATACATGCGAGCACATATAGGACCCATGTACACTGGTACTCGTACTCGCACTAGTAGCTGTTGGTACCCGTAAGTATCGTCGGGTGTGTCAGTCATGGGATATGAACATCGTTATCCTGTTCCTCGTGGTTCCATGTACCTACCTCTCTCGTACCAGCGGTACAGGGGTCTCTCGTACGAGCCACAGGTTCTCTCGAGGTCTCGCTCCGGCCCTTGCTCTCTCCCTGTCTTGCTCCGTACTCCGTACTCTCGAGTGACTCGGCGTGTGTATCTTGTTGGCTGGAGCGCCTCTCTTTCTCTCTCCCTCTCCCTCTCTCCTCTCTCCTCCCTCCTCTCCAACCACATGCTTACTTCTTTCTCACCTCTTCTCCCCGGGGCTTCACCACACGGTCGAGATCACAATACCTCGACACTTGCCTCACGTCCGGGTAACATCGACAGACGAACCGACTCCATTTATGGCTTCTCAACGTGTGTACCGACCAGCCCGCCACCCCTGATCGATCAACACCTTCCTCCCCCTCCTTCCCATCCGCCGAGAAAGACTACAGTGTAGCCTGCATACATTCCTTGCCCCCCCTCCCCTCCCGTTCCCGCTTGACCTTTCCCACATTTTCCGCGAACAGACGGAGAAGAAGGAGGAGGAGGAGAAGAACAGAGAAGACGACACAGTCAACCCCCCACATCTTCTCTCTTACTGACTCTTGTACCGGTTTCTCGTCCTGGAGCATAGAAGGCGCCCATCTACTGAGCGCCACGAGCTCTTTCGCACTCTCAAGGTCGTCGGGGCGCGGCCATGGAGGTTGTCGGCGCCTCTGCCTCGAGCGCACCGCCTGCTGCCGCCGGCCCGGCTATCACGACCACCACCGCCTCACAACGCAAACCCTCGTCCTCGAAGCGATCTGCTCGGGATGATCGCATCGCAAAGTCTTCGACCAGAGTCTCCTCCCCCAGAGCCTCTCCCAGATCTGCTGCCCCGAGGCACCCTCCGCACGCGACCAGGGCGCCCTCCAGGTCAGCTCGAGGCCCTGCCAGACCTCTTGTGCCCGTCACCGAACGCAGGTCACAAGGCGGCGGATCGGCTCGCAAGCCCTCCAGGGATGCTGATGTCGCCACCGACAGGTGGGACATGGTCCCGGACGGGAGCTCTGCAGGGCGAGAGGGCCGACACTTTACCGTAGCAAAAGTGGGCAACAATGGGAGGCTCTACTTGAGGTATGCGGGCCCTTTCACGTCCTGAGACACTGTCCTAGACTCTCTTCCAGTTGGGAGACCTGACACACACACACACACACACACACACACATACATGCCTACGATGCTGACTATTGTCCCGCCGTCTCTAGACCGACCGTCCGCCCGGCACAGCAGAGATACCCTCAACCCAACTTTACCTTCCCGGCCACACCCCCCGCGACGGCGTCACTCGAAAACGCAAAGGCGAATCTCGATGCCGGCAGCGAATTATGGAGCCCGACGACGCAAGATCCACCGCAAATCGTGGCGCCGGCCGAGACGTTGGACTCTGTCGCCCGACAGCCTACTTTGATCCACCGTCGAGCGTTGTCGGATAGTACCGTTCCCGACACCAGCAGCGTCTTCGACTCTGCCCCCGGCGGCTTCAAGGTCGTCATCTCGAAGCCCGGCAATGCGACGGCGCGACGCCCCAGATCCGCAGAGGATCCGCCTACGAATGCCCTGCCACATCTCGACATCAGCATACCCTCGTGGCGCATCGGCGTCCCACGCTTCACCGAGGCCGGCACGCCCTTGCTGCAGGCCTCCTCCTACGCCTCCTCCTATGCCCGCAGCGACGATGTACAGAGCGTCGCCGGATCTGCTTTTGATCGTCCGCAGAGACGCATCAGCTCAACCCCACCTCTTCCTTCTCTGAGTCCAGGGAAGCCGAGCACCCCCCATGCGCCCCAATCTCGCCTCTCGCGTCCACAACCGCACCGCTCCATTCGCCTGCCGACCCTTAGATCACCACTGCTGTCTCCACCGTCGCCCCGATTCCCCCATCCCCTGCGCGCCACCTTCATGTCTGCCACGGTCGCCATACATCCCGACATGTACGATGCCCTAACCTTCCCGCCCGCCTGCGACGACCGCTCCGTCGTTCGATACGGCTCCGGAGGCGCAGTCACGGCCGCTACTCCTGCGCGCCTCGTTGCCGAAATCACGTCTCCTAGCTTCCTCGACTATGAACTCATATCCGACTTCTTCCTTACCTTTAGAGCCTTTCTGGACCCCCAAGATCTCCTGCGCATGCTCATTGCCCGTCTGCGGTGGGCCGTCAGCCGCAATGACGAGATCGGCATGATTGTTCATGTTCGAGGCTTCGTTGCCATGCGCCATTGGGTCCTCAACTACTTCGTCGACGACTTCGTTGTCGATTACGGGCTGCGCCTCGAGTTTTGCAAGCTTCTCAACGGCCTGGTCGACGATCTCGCACATCTGGACCAGGCTCACAAGGTTCAGCTCAAGGCGCTCAACGAGATGAAGAAGTGCTGGCGGAGGGCATGTGCCCAGTATTGGGACGGCGCAGAGTTTGACGAGGACGTCAAGCCGGAGGAGCCGATCACACCTGGTGGTGCCGCCGGCGACCGAGACTCGAGATCGGTCCCGCCTTTCTGGGGGCAAGATGACGCGCAGCCGCCTGCTGCTGCTGTGCAGCCTCCGATGGGGAACCTCGCTCCTGTCCCGGAATCGACAGCGGCAGACTTTGTGACGGAGCAGCCGCATGCGGGGCGCGTGCGACGATCGGCTGGGAACCAACGGCCTTCGACGCCGGACGACGCCCCCGCACGAACCGAGGCGATAGACCAAGATTTCGGCCCATTCTCGCCGTCAAGCCTGGCCAGCTTAGACATTGTCTCCTGCTCCTTCCCGGGAAAGCACCTGCGCTTCTTTCACCCCCAGTGCGGGCGTGCTATGGGGGCACATCCTGCCTCGACGAGCTCGGTCCATCGCGCCGGTCCGGTGGCCAGCACGCCCAAGGCGCTTGCGGGAAAGCGCGTGAGGGCGAAGCACCCACACGGACGGAGCAGCAGCCTCCCCGAGAACCCTCTGGAAGAGGAGGCGGCCGAATGCGAGGCGCCCAAGGCCGACAGCTATGTCGGCGCCCTGCCGCCCGGCGCAAGCCTCGTCCGCGGCGACGTGCTGCCCCCGGGACAGGCGTATGTCCAGATGGCGCCGGGCCACGACAACCGACAGACAACATTCTTCTATCCCGACGGCGTGGGTATGCGCAGGCCGAACTGGCACAGTGACCCTGCGCCGGGTGCCGGCATGAAGAGGTTCATCGGCAGCGTCCGTCGCGTCCTGGGCACCAGGGGACAGCATGCGACATCTCCGCAGGGTCGGTACGTGGGCGGCACCGCTGTCGGACGCTGCGGCGGCGCCGTTGCGCGCCTCCCCGGAACTGCCGTCGTTCCCCAGGGCCACTCGGCCCTGGACGGTCCTCGGCCACGGCTCAGGATAGACATCCTCGCTGCCCAGGTCACGGAGGATTTCAAGACGGCCGTGCGCGAGGACGCGCAGGAGGCTGCCGGCAACCGAACCGCTTCCGACGGGGACGAGGACGAGGATGCAGGCGTCCCGACAGATGCGCAGACAGGTGCACAGGCAAGTGAGCCTCAGGCTGCTTCGGACGCCTTGCAGGGCATCCTCAACGTCCCGAGAGTGAGGCCTTCGAGTGATGGCGGCCTCACGGGCGGAAGCAAGTCCATCGTCATCGTCGACGACACCGTCCCCGTGGACTCATATCCTCTCAGCCATGGTGGTTTCATGACGGCCAACCCGTCCGTCGAGGCCTTTGCGGACGCCCTCATGCGGAACGGTGCCGAGATCACGCCCCCTATGACGCCACCGGCGGATGGACGGATCGCGGCGGCAAGGCGTTCATCTTACCTCTTGAACGAGCATGTCGCCGCGGATGCTCCGTTGGGGGCGTTGCCACCGTTCGTCCCCGACTGGAACACCATCGGGCGGTCCTCCATCGCAACCTCCGCGGCCGACGGACCCGATATTGCGGAGTCAAACCCGCAGCGGGACGCTCACCGCCCTCCTCCGGTCAGTGGAGCCTTGGCAAAGATGCACCGGAGGAACAGGTCGTCTCGTAGCCGCCGCTCCCTCAGCTTGACGGTCCGCCGCCCCATTGGCTCCTCCAGCAGCGGCGGCATGGCGCCGCCATCCATTACTCACAGCTTCGCCGGGACATCCTACACCCACTACTCGATGACCGACAGCGATGTGGGTGAACCGGCGCCCGTGCCCGAGCCTCTACGCATGCTGCGTCGTCGACCTGGCGGCGATCTCCGCGCGGCCACGAATGTTGACGACCTGAACCAGCAGGGGCCGAGGAGGTCGCGATCTCTGGGTTCGCTGACGGCCTTTTCCGATTCCATGTGCGGCTTCAGCAGGATAACCAGCCACGTGCGACGGGCTTCGACCGAGAATACCGGGTCAGTCCTCACAGCGGAAGACTACCACCACTCCTCTGGGGAATCCTTTTCAGTGGGCCGGCTGGCCGACAAGCCGAGCACCCGTGGCAAGAACGTCCGGACCCTGTCCCTGTACGGCACCTATTCATCGAGACCCGTCATGCGCCCCTCGTTCGAGGCCGAAGCCGAGAGGCTCGCTCAGATACCCGATGACGAGGATGATGGCGGTGTCGAGTCGGCCCTGCTGAAGCTCGAGGGCAAGTATGAGGGCCCATCGTCCAAGCTCCCCGTTGGATTCCAAGACGAGGCGCCGGAACTGCTGCCCGAGTCCTCCGACGAGGGCGACGAGGACTCGGAGATGACCAGCGTGGACAGCAAGGATTGCCTCCCCCGTATGGAGACGGAGGATGGGCACCAGGATGACGTGGACGACGACGACGACGACGACGACGACGACTGGACAACCATGGGCGGTACGAGGTCCAGTCAAGCTGGCGGTGTCTTGCTGGAACCACCGGGGGCCTCGGTCAACAGGCAGCAATCCTTCCTCACCGATCGGTCGGGAGAGTCGTACACGTCTACCCCACCACCGCTCGGCGGGGGACTTAGCGATGACGGCCGCGGCGTCGAGGCAACATCAGCAGACTGGAATCACCGGTCCATCCTCCAGGACGAAGAGGAGGCAGGAACCCCCGAGGGCGAGCGAGAGCCTGTCGAGAGCCAGCACACATCTCTCGACTCTATACAGAAGACCGAGCCTCTAGATATGATCATCAAGCCGGGCGGTACGGCACCGCGCAATGCCGAGGAGCAGTCTTTCCTGGATAGCGACCTCTCATCCGAGCTTTCAGATGACGGAGAAGATGGAGCCGAGCTGCCTGTCATGGCTGAGACCTCGCCTCGCACGCTCACAGGCGGCGTTGACGCGGATCTCGCCCGAAGCCTCCCCTCGCCCCCCAACTCGCACTCTCGCAAACTGTCACCGCACGTCACCGCCTGGGGGACGGGCGGTGCCGTCCCCAGACGCACAGACGTCAGCTCGAAGCCGCTGCCCCCGACCCCGGAACCTACGCCCGGTGCTTCGGCGTCGTTTGGATCCCCTCTCCTCGGAGGAGGCGACATCGGGTCGGCACCCCGGACGTCTATGCCGGAAGACGCGGAGCTCGACGTCGCATCGCAGTACGCGATCCACATGCCCTTCATCCTGGCCTTCGACTCGGAGACGCTGGCGCAGCAGTTCACCCTGATCGAGAAGGACGCGCTCAACGAGATCGACTGGAAGGAGCTGGTGGACATGGACTGGCGCAATGCCACCAACAAGCACTCACGCTCGTGGGTGGATTTCCTGCGCAACTCGGAGGCGCAGCAGGGCGTCGAGGTGGTGATTGCGCGGTTCAACCTGGTGGTCAAGTGGGCGGTGTCGGAGATCGTGCTGACGCAGAGCATCGAGGAGCGGGCGCGGTGCATCATCAAGCTGATCCACATGGCATCGTTCTGCCGGCACTACCGCAACTTTGCGACGCTGGCGCAGCTCACCATCGCGCTGTCGAGCAACGAGATCTCGCGGCTGGCCAAGACGTGGGACCTGGTGCCCGCGGGCGACATGAAGATCCTGCGGGACCTCGAGACTCTGGTGACACCCATGCGCAACTTCTTCAATCTCCGCGCCGAGATGGAGTCCGGGCCCGAGGTGGCGTGCATCCCCTTTGTCGGCATCTACACGCACGACCTGCTGTACAACGCCCAGCGGCCGTCGGAGATTGCCAGCTCGCCCAACACGCCGCCGCTCATCAACTTTGAGAGATGCCGTATGGGTGCTGCCGTGATCAAGACGCTCCTCAGGCTTCTGGAGGCCAGCTCGCGCTACACCTTCCAGCCCATAGAAGGTGTCACCGAGAGGTGCCTCTGGATCGGAGCACTTTCCGATGCCGAGATTCGACGTCACTCGGGGAACCTGGAGTGATTTTCATCCCTTTTCCCACTCTCGACACTCATGATGCCTGCCTCCCCTCCTCTATCTCTCACCATCTCACTATTTCCCTCCCCCCCCCAACACACACACACACACACACACACACTCACTCACTCACTCACACACTCACACTCTCACTCTCACACTCGCACACACACTCGCACACTCACACACACTCACACACACTCACACACACTCTCCCTTCTCACACAACCTTATCATCTCACTCTTGTGTATCCATTCCCCTTTTCTCACTCATCCTTCATATCACATTCGAATAGCGTACTCTCTTCCTGTCTAAAAATACCCAAACGCGCATAGCATACATACTCTCTCGCTTTTCCCCTTTCCCTTTTTTTGTTTGTTTTTTGTTCTCATGAAATATCCCCCGACCCCCCCTTTTCCCCCAACAAGGACACCCTTTTCTGCATTGTTGTCATTTCGTCGCGCATTGCTTATATAGCCCTAGCGTCATGTCATGCATCTTTTTTWTMTKTTYWTTYCCCTCSTYYYYTTATATATATTCTATATATATCTTATTTTTCGTTTCATAACGATTGTCAGCTTTGGGGGTTGGAATGTGCGGAGTATCATATGTCAGTAGTATATATCATGTTGGTCCCACATGTGGACAGTATATATATGTATATATATATATCGTATATACATCGTTTATGTTGGTTCCTTTTGATGGTTGATTCCTCCTTTGCGTCGGATCTGGGGTGTCTTGTTAGTGGCGTTTCTTGATGCATGGGGGTTTCTGGTTGGAAGTTGTATAGGGAACGATAAGCATTCGTATATACTGCATTCATCATGTTTTCGGCACTACGTGATGCCACGTACTACGTAATACTACATGATACTACAGCGACATGATGACTACGGTATCAAAAGGTGGCAGATGCCTACATCATCGTGATGCTACGAATACCGATGATGATAAGATATAATACCACTGCGGCATACTCATCGGACATGTACGCAACACACGCGCCGCAATGTCGCGAATACATGCGGCGAGTAGATATTACACTACGACGTAAACATCAAACATGAACAAACATGGGCGCACACATAGAGAGAGAAGATAGAAATGTTACTCGGTCGGGATAACTGTCAAGTCCACCCCACTGGTCGCACAGGGCTTTCCCTCGTCGTTTCTTCTGGCCTGTTCCCTGTTCCCTGTCTCCTGTCTCTCCCCCCCCTTCGCTCCGTTCCCTGCTATCCTTTCTTTTCTCTTGATAGAGCCAAACAAAAGAAAATAAAAAAGAGACCGTGTAATTTGAAAAAAAAAAAGGAAAAATTGTTTCCCGGTCCCAGCAAACAGGTAGAAGAACGACGAGTATCTTTCCCTCATTAGTGCCGCCAAGCTTCTTTTGGTTTTGTGCCAAAAAAAAAAGCACACAAGTCTCTCTCTCTCTCTCTCTCTCTCTCGTTTTCTTTTCTTAAAGATCTTTCTTTCCTCTTGAACCCATCCAAAAATATTTCTCTCCCTCTCGTACCGTGCGTGTGATTACAGCAGCCATGATGAAATGAGGGGGGGATGGGGATGGTATCATTGGAAGAAAGAAGAAAAAAAAACTTTTTTGTTATCTTTTGGTATTTTTTTTTTCGGTCCCGCTGTGGTTTTTTTGTACTTGTGGATTTGAGTGATTTTTTCTCTGTTCATGTTCTTTTCGACATGCCATTAACATTGTTGGGAGATTGTATCTCCTCAAACAAGGAAAGATGGTAGAGAGGAAAAAAACCCTCTACCACTGAGACTCCTTAGCGGGCTCGGCCCACTCGGTGGGCTGGGCACCAGAAGCGGCCCAGTCCTCACCGGCACCGTCCCAGTTACCACCGGCGACGGCGGGGGCACCGGAGAAGCCGGCAGCAGGAGCCTCCCAGTCGGCACCGGTCTGCGGGACACCGGTCTCGATGGTGGCGGGGCCCTCCTCGTCAGCGCCGGGGACCTTCTCCTCCTCGACCTTCTCCTCAGCCTCGGCCTCAGGGTCGCGGTCTTTTGTTTTGGCATGGTTAGTTTAATTGTGCTTCCGGTTTTGTGGAGGGGGGGGGAGTTATATATATAGAGAGAGAAAGAGGAGGTAGAACGTACAGAAGTACAGATCGGGCATGACGTCCCAGGGGACCTCGCGGTTGTGGATGGTACCGCGGAGGCGGAGGACCTCACGGGCGAGGAGCCACCAGATGGTACCGATGGCGTTGCGACCCTTGTTGTTGGTGGGGATGGCGACGTCGACGTACTCGGTGGGAGAGTCAGTGTCGCAGAGGGCGATGACGGGGATGTTGACGTAGCTGGCCTCCTTGATGGCCTGGGCGTCGGTGCGGGGGTCCGTCACGACGATAAGGCGGGGCTCCTTGAACGAACGGGTGATGTAGTTGGTGAAGCTACCGGGGGTGAAGCGACCGGCGATGGGGGAGGCGCCGGTGTGCGAGGCGAACTTGAGGGCCGCGCGCTGACCGTAGGGACGGGCAGAGATGACGCAGACGTCGGCGGGGTTCTCGATGGCGACGATGATGCGGGCGGCCAGGACAATCTTCTCCCTGTTGCCTTGTGTTAGTCCTTCCCTTTTTTCCTTCTTGTCCTCCTTTTTCTCTTTAATTTGCAAACTAGCAATGCCCCCCCTTCCCCCACGTCCCAAAATAAAAAAGTGCGCAAATTATTTCCGAAAAGAAGTAGGGTCAAAACACACCAGGTCTTGCCAATGTTAATCACATTGACACCGTCGGCACGGGTCTTCCAGAGGTAAGGCTCCATGTGAACCTGGAGGTTCTTGCTGCCCAGGTGGGCCTGCGAGGCAAGGAGGAGCTCAATGTCATTGCTCGTGGCGCTGAGAGCAGCAGGGAGGTTGGAGGAGGCCATTTTGTCTGATTTCTTGAATTTTCCTCGACTGGGGTGGTTGAGTGAGTGAGGAAAAAGAAAAGGACCAAGGTCGTGATGGGACTGACGAAAAAAAAAAAAGTTGGCAAAGCACTTTCACGCGAAAAAAATTACCCAAAATGTGTGTGGGCTTGCTCTGCTCAGAGCCCTGAGGGTTACTACTGCTAAATCGGGGCTAGCGCATGCCCGACATCTTGCTGGGTCCCGAGCAGGAAGCACGTGATCTATAAGCTAAACCAAATCAGGCTACGCGTCCTGTCCCGAACCCGACTCCTCCTCACCCGGTGGGAACTCTGGTCCCTTTTGGGGGAAATTTTGGAAGGGACCAGCAAAACAGTAGAGCTTCCCTCTTTTCAATCTTCAGTTGATTGCTCGCCTGCCATGCCTCCCAGACTACAGACGCTGCAGCGTTTAGGGGGCAACAGCAGCCGTATGTTTCTCCATCCGTCTTCTCCTCCCTCCCCTCTCCTCTTCCTTGCCGTTGAAGAATACAAGAGCCGAATACTGACTTGAACCCCCTTGATAGTATGCCTCCGACCGGCTGCGACATCATTCACGACACCCAAGTTCCTCCCCATCACCCAGACCGCCAATCTCTCCCAGCGTGAGAAGAAGCGCAAGGCTAAGCAGGACCCCTACGCGTGGGCCCAGGCTCAGCAGCGCAAGAATGCCAACCTCGACCGGCGCGAGGAGCTACGGCGGCAGCGCCAGGGCGAAGGGTGGAACGACCCGGTAAACGGCAGGGTGACGCCCTTTATCGAGTCTCTCGATTCGGCCGGCCAGGCGCGTTACAGCAGGAGCGCTGCGGCATCGGCATCGGCAGCAGCATCAGCAGCGGCGGCGGCGACCGGGTCTGCGGAGGGCGGAGCCGGCAACCTGCAGCAGCAACAGCTGCAGGAGCTTCCCCGGGCGCCGGGTATGCGCAACTTCTTCTTGACGGACTCAGAGCTGGACGAGGCGACCAAGCACGCCTACACGCTGACCAAGCCGGTCGTGGGCGTGGTGGAGTCACAGATGGGCTCGGCCTCGGAGGCAGACCTCCTGCGCCTGCACGAGGAAAAGCACGCGCGGGCCGTCGAGGCCATGAAGCGCATCACATCGTTGGCCAACGCCAGCGCCAAGCACCGGTACCACGCCAACGTGCAGCGCGTCATCGCCGAGTTCGGCCGCCACTCGACGGACAAGGTCCTCGAACCCAGGCCGCGCTCCGTTCACGCCAGCTCTGACCCCAAGGTCCCCCGCGCCGGGCCCGACACCGGCTCCTCCGAAGTCCAGATCGCCATCCTGACCACCAAGATCCGCGCCCTCTCCCAGGCCCTCAAGGTCAACAGGGGCTACAAGGACCGCGCCAACAAGAGAAGCCTCGAGCTCCTCGTCCACAGGCGCCAGAAGCTCCTCAAGTACATGGAGAGGAAGGAGAGGGGTAGCGGTCGCTGGAACAACATGGTCGAGAAGCTCGGCCTCACAGAGGCCATGTGGAAGGGCCAGGTCACCACCCTGTCCAAGTGATGCATCTATCCTACGGGCATGTTGACAACGCACGGCGCGCCACACACACGCAGCTTGTAGTAGTGTATAAATCTGTTGTTCAAAACAATCTTTTCTGTTCTTTATATGTACAATAACACAAAAAGATAAAGCCATTTGGGAATTTCATCTATCCAAACACACTCTGACAGAGCTCGTTACTTCCTTCCGATTCAACCTTCTGCCGAATTCCATATGATAGTTAAAGTTCAAGAAAAAAAAAGAAGCACAATCTTAAAAATCTACTCCGGCCATTACGCCAAAAGTCTGTAACATTTCCCGTGCCATTTACGAGTTGACGATGCTATACTACTACAGAAAATAAAGAAAAAAACAAAAGATACGACGAAAAAAAGCAGCTGCTAAGAGAGAGGGATAAATAAGAATGAAACAAAGGGAGACATGGGTGATGGGTTGCAAAAATCAGAAGACGCTAATGTAGTTGTCGATGCGGTCCTTCTGGTTTTGGGCTATGCACTCGGCAATCCATGTAATGTTCCGTGTTTCCTTATTTGATAATGTAAGTTAGTAGGTTGCATCTAACTTGACTTTCGTCCTTCTCTTTCTATCCCCAGCAAGGGAACTATCACGGGGGAAGGGAGGGGGGGGGGGGGTTTGGTTTCGTCTTACCTGCTCCCTCAGCTTGACCCATGCGTAGATGATGGCGTATGAGAACTGCTGGGTAAAGGCATTCTTTGAAATCTCCATCTCCTTCTGGTAGAAGAGGTCCTCGAGGGTCTTGCCCTCGGTGGAGCCGCCGCCCATGTTACCTCCGCCCGAGGCACCGCCGCCGCCGCCGATGGCCATGGCATCGAAGAAGGTCTTGTAGTCGTGGACGCCGTCGACGGCCAGCCGGACGCCGTCGGCGTCGTCGGCGCGGGACAGCATGAGGGTGCCCTCGGGGTAGAGCTTGCCGAAGCTGGGGTAGAGCTTCTTGCGGTCGGCCTTGGAGAGCTCGGTGCCGAAGGAGTTGAGGGTGATGTTGATGGAGCGGCGGTCGGCCTCGAACTCGAGCATCTCCGACATGACCTCGGCCGTGGGCGTGCCGGCCATGTCGGCGTGCGTGTTGACAAAGTTGTAGAAGTCCTCGAGATAGTTCTTGTACAGCGTGTTGCGCACAATCTCAATGTTGAGCTCGTCCAGGTCCTCGTGGCTCAGGCTGCCCTTGAAGTAGGCCGCCAGCGGCGTCTCGATCAGGACACTGTTGTACAGCTCCTCGATGTTGGTCGCCACGCACAGCACCGGCATCGTCTCGAACCACCCGAGCGGGTGGCACCGGTCCAGCAGTTCACGCGTATCCCTCTCGTGCAGCGTCCCCGTGATCAGCAGGGCCACGTTGTCAATCATGTACCCGTACGTCACGTAGTCCATGAAGGTCGCCAGGGACCCCACCGCATTGGAGCGCACGTAGCGGAACTCGGAGATGAGCTTGTCCGTCGTCTTTGATGCGAGGCTCGACGTCGAAGGGTTCGGCGGCAGAGATGCTAGGAAGTCGCCGTAGGCCGGCCCGAGTTGGAGCTTGAGGTCTGCAGAGTGTGTTGTCAGATTCATGATCCTAGAGAGAGACCCTCTCCCCCACCAAAGTAATAGAAGAGGAAAGGAGGAGACAAGAGGAAAGTAGCCACGCACCATCAATCGTCTCACACTGCGTCAGGTTAGCGTAGGCTGGGCCTGTGAGAAGGCTGTTGCGATAACCTCGAACAACACCCTCGACATAGCTAAAGATGTAAAGATGGCATCAGTATGTGATATATATCTCCTAGTAGGGGAAAAGGGTGAAGTTGGAGCGCAAAGGAAAACGGACCCATTGTTGGCGTTGAAAAAGAGGCCCTCCATCTTGAATAGTGAGTGCTCTCCTCAATTCGGGGGAAGAGCAGTCGATGAGGGAGCGAGAGAATACGAGCAAGGAGAGAAAATACAGGGAGTTGAGGGCTGCCGGTGTCAAGACAGAGACGCAACGCAATCCGTTTCTATCAACAGCCGCAGCATTGGAGTCGCAGCAATCAGTAGCCCAGAATCCACGGCTCCACGTGAGTGGTTGGAAAATTCGGTCTATCACTTTATCCGCCGCCACTCATACTTGTGGCTTGAAGTTGTCTTCCCCCACCCGGATACAGCCAAAAAATTAGAGTGGGACTAACATGAGCTTTGAGAGCCTCGCCTAGTAAAAGAAAAAAAAAAAAGTGAAAAATTTCTAACAGTCGTCAAGCCGGCCAAAAAAAATAAAAAAATCCTTGCCCATACATTCTACTCCTTCTTTGCGTGCACCAACCTCACGACAATTGCGCTTCGCAAAGAAGGCCAATCAATAACCGAAATCTAGCGAGGGCTTCCTCACGACATTTTAATTCCTATCAATTCACTGAACGTCGTCGGTCGCCATGTCTCTCTTCGTTCTGGCCGAGACGCCGGCAGGGTACGTTGTTTTTCGACCGCTCCCGACGAGGGGAAAGAGGAGGAGAGAACTGTGGAAGAACAGAGATACTGATTGGTTCCTTATTCTAGCTACGGTCTGTTTAAGGCTGCCGACAAGAAGCTGCTCAAGAATGACAACCTCGCCGCCGAGATGGGCCACCCCGAGAAGCTGGTTGAGATGTGAGTCTGACCTCAATGCCCCCCACAATCGTTAGAAAAAGAATGTGGAAAGATGGAAGGGAAAAAGGAAAAATATCTAATCTGTCAATCACTGTCGATTGTAGGCTCAAGCTCAAGAAGTTTGTCAAGTTTGACAGCGCTGCTACTGCTCTCGAAGAGGCCGCCGCCCTCAAGGAGGGCAAGGTTCCTGAACTCCTGACGTCGCTGCTCGAGGACCTCAACTCCGAGAAGAAGGCCTCTCTGGCCGTTGCCGACATCAAGCTCGGCACCTCCATCTCCAATATCCCCGACTCCAAGATCACCCCCGTTGCCGGCTCCAACACAGTGGACCTGTTTCGAGGTATTCGTGAGCACCTGTCGTCTCTGATCCCCGGCCTGGCTACCGAGAACGTCGACCGCATGGCCCTCGGCCTCTCGCACTCCATGTCCCGCCACAAGCTCAAGTTCTCCGCCGACAAGGTGGATTCGATGATCATCCAGGCCGTCAAGATGCTCGATGACATTGACAAGGACCTCAACGTATGCGCCATGCGCACTAAGGAGTGGTACGGATGGCACTTCCCCGAGATGGCCAAGACCCTTAACGACAACGTGGCCTATGCCCGCGTGGTCCTGGCCGCCGGCATGCGCTCCAACATTGCTGAGACAGACCTGTCCGAGGTCCTGCCCGAGGAGCTCGAGACGGCCGTCAAGGCTGCCGCCGAGGTCAGCATGGGTACCGACATCACCGAGGCCGACCTGACCAACATCAAGTTCATGGCCTCCGAGGTCGTCAAGTTCTCTGCCTACCGCTCGCAACTGTCGTCGTTCCTCGAGAATCGCATGCGGGCCATTGCCCCCAACCTGACCGCCCTGGTCGGCACCCTGGTCGGCGCTAGGCTGATTGCCCACGCCGGCTCGCTCATTAGCCTGTCCAAGGCTCCTGCCTCTACCATCCAGATTCTTGGTGCCGAGAAGGCCCTGTTCCGCGCCCTCAAGACCAAGCATGACACTCCCAAGTACGGTATCATCTACCACTCGTCGCTCATCGGCCAGGCCAACGGCCGCAACAAAGGAAAGATTGCCCGTGCGCTGGCCGCCAAGGCGGCCCTGGGTCTGCGCGTCGACGCTCTGGACGAGGAACTGGACGACAAGGACGAGGAAGAGCGTTCCGCCCTCGGCCTGACCAACCGTATCAGGCTGGAGAATCGCATCCGCAAGCTCGAGGGCAAGCCCCCGCTGCCCCGTGGCGCCAACGTTAACTCCGCCGGCGAGATCTTCAGTGCTGGCCAGTTCACCCTCAAGGAGACGCGCCGGTACAACACCGACGCTGACGGTGTCGACGAGGAGTCGGCCGTCAACGGCAACGCTGACAAGAAGAAGAGCAAGAAGGACAAGAAGGCCAAGATCGAGGTTGTCGAGGAGGATGTCTCAGACGAGGAGATGGACGACGGTAGCGACCACGATGCCACCACCCCGGCCAAGAAGGTCGCTAAGCTCTCCGAGGAGGAGTACGAGCGTCTGGCCGAGCAGTCCGGCCTGTCTGTCAAGAAGTTCAAGCGCAAGTACGAGCGTGGCGACGTGACCATCAACGACGATGGTACCCCCCGCATCTTCAGCAAGAAGGAGCTCAAGAAGCTCCGCAAGGCCGAGGGGAAGGCCGGCTCTTCGACGCCTTCCAAGGCTGCCGCCGCCCCTGAGGGCAAGAAGAAGCGCAAGCATGACGACGACTCAGAGGAGGACGAGAAGAAGAAGGAGAAGAAGCAGAAGAAGAAGAAGCGCCAGTCTCTCGACGCATAGATTGGACCACGATGAAGGCCCCCGTCCCGTGTGCGTTGTGTACGTCGAAAGCAAAGAACGACCTCGTTGAGAAGCCTCGCCCGCGTACATACACACGGCTGTACTCTTATGTGATACCTGGAGGGCTGAAGAAGATAAGATGGTGCATCGTATGGCAGGGCATACCTTTTTTTTGGCCATGTCGTCCTTTCTTTTTCATTTATCCACGGGCTTCTTGAAGATCTTTTTTTGCTATACATCATAGTGTCCGTTGGAGAGGCATGGCGAAACCAGGGACGAGAGAGTGAGAGGCGTTATTTCTATTTTATTTTCTTCCTTTCCCCCGGATTTTCTTGTCTGTCTGTCTGTCTGTTTGTTTGTTAGGGCTCTTTTTCTTCATTTATCTCACATACATGGTGATTTGGTTCTTACGTTTTGCTTTTGCCATGACGAGATCGAGGAGTGTTGTTGAGGCTTAGGTTTTACCGGCGCTAGTGGTGAAAATAATTCATACATTTCAAAAGCGGTTGATGCTTGTGTGACGCATGTGGAGATTTTGACGAGTTCGGGAACCGAGTGAAGGCAATATCGTAGGGCGACGATGTATGACGGGAGAATAGGAGGAGGAAGAGGTAGGTTGATAACCATCGTCTACCCTTGTGTCCACCTGTATGTGTTGGTGGCACCTTCACACTGCTTCCTTCGACCCCATCACGGAAGGAGGCAAGCTCGTGCCTTCCTACCAACACGCGCATAGCATCAAATAGACACTGTCGCACAAGGAATCAAGTAATGTGAGAAAAGGGCTCATAATATATCAATACATTACACGGGGTATCAATCATTCTCTGCCGAAAAGCCTCAAAGTACATCTGCAAGCGTAATCGCTCGTACATAGCGGAACCCATTCCCTCTGTCATCCCATCGCGTGCCATCATCATCTCGGCCTTTGTGTGTGGGGAATCTGTTCCGTCATCGTCCCCATTTCTTTAGAAGACGTTTTCTTCTTCTTTTCATTTCGGTTGCGTAATTTGAAAAGGCAGTGAGTGTATAAAAAGCGTCTGTTGTTCCTTGGAAACGACAGAGCAAACAAAACGGAGGAAAAAAAGAGTAGTAGCAACGGAGAGATTCGATCGTGGAGTGTTGCGCGCATGCTGGAAGATCAAAGAGACCAAGCTGCAACTTGGGAAAACACAAACAGTTAGTCGAGCTCACGCGTCAGGTCGATCTTTTCTGTTCCCCTCTTCACCAGTGCGTGCTTTTTTCTTTCTTCCGTTTTTGGTCTGTGTCCGTCATCTTAAATGTTCTCCACGATGCGAGCGTTCATGGCACTCTGAAAACCGGGATCTTGCTGACCTCCAAAGTCTCCATGGCGGGAGAGGTCCTCGCCAGTCTCGGCGGCGGCGGCGGCGGCGGCACCGGCAGGACCGGAGAGGTTCATGGTCTGGTTAGCAGCAGGCAGGAAGATGACCTTGCTGTTAGCCGATTTGGCCATGGCCTGCATAGCCTCAAGATATCGGATCTGCATGGCGGGGGCGGAGCTCAGGATGTCGGCGGCCTGGCGCATCAATTTGGCGGCTTCGACCTGTGTAGGGAGTTTTTGGTCAGTATCTGGATATGCAGAGAGTAGAACAATGCACAGTAAGAGTATTTGTGAAGAATTAAATGAAGAAGGAGACAAGGACAGAGAGAACGACAGAGAGAGAGAGAGAGAGAGAGAGAGTGTGTGTGTGTGTGTGTGTGTGTGTGTATGTGTGAGGGAATGAAACGGACCTCTGCCTTGGCGGCGATAACCTTGCTCTCGCCAATCCTCTTGCTCTGAGCTGCCATGGAGAGCGACTCCTGGAGCTCCTGGCTAAAGATGATATCCTTGATGAGCATGCTCTCTACCTGGACGCCCCACCCGGCGGCGACGTCCTCGATGATCTCGCCGATAGACTGGGCGATCTCCTCGCGTCGCTCGATGACGTCCTGGAGGATGCGGGCGCCGACAACGTGGCGCAGGGTGGTCTGGGTGCGCTCGATGAGGGCCTGGCGGACATTTGTGATGCCGAAGGCGGCCTTGTGCGGGGCCACGACGTGGAAGTAGATGACGGAGGTGAGGCGAAGGGTGACGTTGTCCTTGGTCATGCACGTCTGCTCAGGCACCTCTGCGATCTGGATCTTGACGTCGATCTGGATCAGGCGCTCGGACAGCGGGTTGATCTTGACCAGGCCCGGGTCGACGGCCTTGTAGAAGCGGCCGAACTTGGTCACCAGCCCGACGTTGCCCTGCGACACCGAGTTGTACGGGTTGGGGCACACGATGCAGCAGGGGATGGCCCCCATGGTGCCCGCCACGGCGCCGAACGTGTTGATCATGCTGCCGTACCACCCCTTGGGGCTGGCCTCGCTGTCCACCACCGTCGCGTAGCTGCGCTGGAGGTCCTCCTGCTTCGGTGGCTGCACCGTCATGTTCTTCTGTGGCTGGAAGCCGACGGCCTGATCCGCCTCGGTGCCGTTGTGCTGAGACCTGGTCAGCTTGGTCGTCGATGAGGACTGGCCGCCGTTGATATCTCCGGATGACATTCTGGTTGTCTTCGTCTTTTTTTTTTTTTTTGGGAGGAGGGGGGATAGGAGGGAATTGTGTGGTTCGTATAGTATTACACAAACGTGCGTATAAGAATGAAGAGATCCTACGACTTGTAATAGTGATAAGATGAGAATGAAGAGTAGTAGTTGGTGTACTTCGTTTACAAGGTGTTTGTGATATCATGCGCCAAGTTTCATCATGATGAGATGGGGGGTACCCCGCCTTCTTTACAGATAATAATCGAATGATATATAGACAATGCCATATATTACCCATCCTGGATCCATCACCCGACAGGACAGCCCTGCTGCCTGCAGCAACGGTCCCATACCCTCTGACGCCCTTTTCGTGTTTGTGGCGGAAAAAGGTAATAGTCAATAGTCAGGCAGCCTTTCGTTTTCTGCACCGCCTCGGGCCTCGCCCAATGGGACAATATTTCGCGAGAGCGGCACACACCTAAGTCGCAGAATGCTAAACAGTGTGATACGATGTAATAAAAGTACCAGAGAAAGAAAAGATCAGCCTTGGAAACTGCCTTGCCGTTGCTCAAACATTCCTTTGGGCCCTTTTACTCGTCATCCCCGCATTAGGTCAAGACTAGAGTCTCGAGAGCAACACCTCTCTTCTTTTGTGTAATATAATATTACTTGTACGAGTACTGCGACGTCATCTTTGCAAGGGTATATATTTCTTGGCTCATCATATCTCTTCACGCTCGCTCTATTGCTGGTAGCAGCTTGTTGACTAGTACCCGTAGTCTGTAATACTCTATAACTGAGGACAGCAACCGTCCGTTAGTACGTTGTCAAGGAAATTATAGTTCTAGGCAACGGGATAGTTTAGACTTCAGTTCGGGTCAGCCGACAACCGTATGCACGTGCACGTCAAATAGCAGATATCGGCTCGCACGAGGCGGCAAAGCGAACAAAAAATACATCATTCCCAAGCGCCACGCCTACGTCGTAATATCCCTGATCTCTACCTGGGTGACCGTGATAACCCAGACTACGAAGCAAAATCTGCCAGCGTGCTCCGCAGCACACCTCATCGGATTTCAGGGTCACGCATGAAGTCGGGAATAGTAAAGCCAACGTCGCCCGACTCTATCCTTGTCTCGGCCAACTTCCTCGCCAGCCCACTGAGCCTGCGGCTGTTATCCTTCTCGTCGTCAACAACCCCCCTAGCGTCGAACCGGGCGGCGCGGGTGCCCATAAGTTCCACCACATCCTCGACCGGGTTGCTCTCAACACCGGCAGCCTGCCCCGAGTCTGCGTCGTAGGCGTAAATCTTGATGCCCCTGAGGTGGGTGTCCTTGCCATTCTGGTGGTTCTCGAGGATCTGCATCTGAAGCACATATGACACGAGCGTGTTGCCGTCGGGGCCACCGCCCGTGCCGTTGAGCGGCACTTGCTGCCATCCGACCGGGTTGTTCAGGGACAGGTGAGCAAACTCTATGAGGTTGTTCTCGCTCGTGCCCGACTTGAAGACAATGTTTGTGGGCGTGTACGACTCGTCCTCGCCGTAGTTGACGTAGAAGCGCAAGTCTCGGATGCCCACACGCTTGATGAAGTAAATCGTCAGCTTGTGCGGCTGAGGGCCATCCGACCTAGAAATTGCAAAGAAGAAAAGTGTAAGTCGTCTGATGGAAAGGGAGGTTGGCTACAACCACTCCGTTCTTCATGCACAGCTATACTCACTGCCAGTAGAGGCTGAGGTCGTCACTTCGTAGTTCCTCAACACCATTGCCCTGCTTGTGACTGCTCACGGTGAACCGGCCGAGATTGGAAATCTCCTTGAGTCCCAATGAAGCCGGATCCACGAGTTCCTCCTGATACTCGACAGCCTCTCCTTCCCCCCCCTCCTCCTCCTCCGCCTCCTCGTCTCCCTCGTCTCCCTCGTGCTCATGGTCGATATCATCAACGTCGTGAAAGTTGTCTTCGACACTCGTATCCTCACCCTCGAGGTGATCGTGAACGTCCTCTTCGTACTCTTCCGGTTCACGCACGCGCTGTGCCGAGTCGACGGGACGTGCCCTCGTCATACCTAGCACGCTCAGGTCGGGCTCTGATCCTGAGTCGTCGGACATTTCCGGCATGCTGAGGCGTGCAGGCGGCGCAGCTGGGCGGTGGTCAGCAAACGGGAACCTGAGTCCATGGCGTATCAAGATGCGGCTCAGCGGGGCTCTCATGGCCTGCTGCCTGGCCAAGGCTCTGGCCCTGTCCCTCTCGATCTGGCGCCTGGTGCGACGCATATCAAGGGCATGGATATATGAGGTCGTGCGCAGGTATTCCCTGGGGTCCTCGCCGGCCGCGTGGAACGCTTGGGGTATGTTCTCCTTGCCCCGCGACGGCATAGGGCGACGGCATAGAGGGGCCCGGCTCTTGCCATCATCATCTGGTACTAGGAACCCGGATGAAGAGACGTCAAGTTCCTGAAGAGGCACTCGCCTCAGTGGGGCAGTCGTGGTGGCTACAAGGGTAGGAGCAGGACGCATCGGCAATTTCCACTCGGTGGACGTCGCCATATTGCCTAGGGGATGAGAGTCATGCAAGAAGGCAGGAGGGCCGGCCAGAGGTTCCTGGGAGTCGTCATATGACATGGTTGCAATGCGTAGAATAGATATTGGTGGGGGGTGGGGGGATAAGAGAGAGGCGAGGGGAGCCCCAAAGTTCATTCAGTCGTGAATAGAAAGAAGGAGATTTGTGTGCTTTTGCTTTGGACGAAATGTGAAGGTGAAGGCAAATGTGAGAGGGTGAATGTGAACATGAATGCAGATGGAAAGGAATGTTTACTCGAGAACCAGCGTGTTGGCGATAGAATAATGGAACCTCGGGAGAGGATGTGAAGAAGATAGAAAAAAAACCAGGGAAAGGAAAGAAAACGTACCCCGATGCACACGAAATGGATTTGGCGGCGGCGCACGCATAGCCGAAGAAGGCTGCCTGTCGACATCATACCGTGAATCTGGTGTCTGATGGGATGGAGAGAGGGTAGGCATTGGCGTCACGCGGCGGAATTGCTGCTGCTGCTGTTGCTGGCGACGGACGATAGCCGGATTGGCCTGGCTGCCATTCACGGCATTGGGAGGCGTTTCATGCTGGCTTGGTGAATTGCCAGTATCGCTGTTGTTATTGTTGTTGGCAGCAACATGGCGAGCTCGTCTGGGGCCACGGGCAATGTCCATACTCTTTTCGCCTCTGGGCCCATGTTTATGTTCATACGATCGGCCAAGATTCCATTTAAAAGAATCGGGAGAGAGAGAAAAAGCAGATACACAGTATTAGCTCTGTAGACCTGAAGCCCCTCCCCCGCGCCTGCACGTCGCGCTATCACGTGACTATGCCCATTATACTCGTAACTCTTCCTGTTTAGATCATATTATCCCATCCCCCCACACTCACATGCCATAACTCCTCCTTTTCGGCAAGAAGAAGAAAAGGAAGAAGAAATCACCGTGACCAGTAATTATTCATCGGAAGCGTTCCACCCCGCCTACCACCCCCAGGGCGACTTCCCGACTCTTCAGACACGCCGCAGGCCACCATGCGACGCTGCCGCCGCCACTCCCGCACCATGCATGCGCACCTGACCATCTGAAAGGTTGTAGCGAAGGCGATGAAGCCGACCAACACGCCGAAGACCAGACCTAAGATGGCGGGGTGCGGCCTCTCCCCCTGGTGGTAGTGATGGTGATGGTGGTGATGGTGATGGTGCACGTCGTGACCGGGCTGGGGAGTCGTGGTAGTCATGCTGCCGGACAGGGTGAGCAAGGCCCCAGTGGCGCTGGTGATGGCGCCGCCGTTGGTGATGGCCGGCGTGGGTAGCATCATTTCCCCGCGTGTCTGCCTGCGTCTTTCCTATGCAGCGACCTGGTATTACTGCTTGTTTCTCTTCGTCTTCTCTTCTCTGCGGGCTAGTCCGCGTCGTGGGATGATGGGTATGTAGACAGTCCTCTGCGTCTATCCCTGGCTTTCTGGTATATCACGGTAGTCGATTGTGGACGTCAAGAGGTGAGACCTGCCTATCTCTTGGCGATATTCTGCGATTTTTTTTATGGACAAGATATTCCTGCTTGCCAAGAGCAAGCGTCTACGACGTACTGATGACTCGGACAAGGCCACGCAGAGGATAGCACGGGCGACCTTGCTCCCGTGACACTTCCTGACAGTGAATGACCGACGGGTGGACAGACTGGGAGGAAGCTATCTCTGCATGTGGTCGCCACACTCGTGATACAGGCACCTCATAGCAGTATCAAGAGCAGGAGCAGCGGCAGAATTGGCTGGCACGCTTGCTTTCCGTACGAGCACTACAAGTAATACGTATCTGCCAACAAACAGCACTGACAGCCCCGACGTCACTAATGGCCAGATTGATCCACGCACACGACGTATTAGCCGTACGTACGCACAGACATGTCATGGACAATCACGGTGGTCGTGACGGTCAGTGCACGGGGGTTGGGAGACAGGTCGAGAGACGATGTGAAATTGTATCTGCCCCCTCCCCCACATGTCGAGGGATCCGTACCGTTCGAGGGTATCAGTACGTCGTAATGAAAGAGAGAGAGGAGGGGGGCCACTGTGGCGGGAGAGGGAAATTGAGCACCATCTAAGCCGTTGGTAATACCGTTGTTGGTACAGATAGGATCTAGCATCAAGACTGGGCACACGAGAAGGGTGGTGGCAGATTGGGCATGCAACAGTCTCGCACGAAAATTGCTCGTTGTGAGTAGATAGTCATCCTGCACACAGCAGCCGTGATTGAATGACCTCTCTGTGCTCATGAAGACGTCTCCGGGGAGGGGGAGACTGAAGCTCGAAGTCTGATATTACCGGATAGCTAGGGAGAGGGAGAGGGTGAACGGGAGGGATTGGCAGGAGACAGAGGAAGAGAAGAGAGAGGCAGGCAGGCAGAGAAAGAAAGGCACAGAGAAAGAGAGAGAGAGAGAGAGAGAGGTCGAGATTGGCAATTCCCACGGCAATTTTGCACGCTGCAATCCCCACCTCTTGGCTCCCTACGGCGTAATCCACTAAGCGCATCGTTAGTCGTATTACAGTGGTTGGAGTCCGTATATTACCCTGCGATCCGCTCATGCCCAGGGTCCCCCCCCCCCACCCTGAAGATACTTCTTGGCGCAGGTCACTTGGCCCTTGTCGGCAATGACGATCTGCTTCCTGGAAGGGTTAACAGGAAAACGTGAGCTGTTGGGATCTTTGGCGGTAGCGATCCGTACTTGTATAATCTGCTTCGTACTGCATGGCAGGACTTACCGATATGGGGCAAGGTAGTAGTCGTACGAGCTGTCGGGCTGTATAGGATAGTATGGAGTGCGTGTAGCAGGTAGCATCACTGGTACTAGCCAGCACGAACAGTACGAGCAGTAAATGCGGTGAGAGGTATTATTTGGGGGGTGAAGGGGGTGGGCAGCGATCTGTGTGGAGGGTGTGAGGAAGCGTGCGTCGGTGGTGTTCACTGGGGTCCCTGACGCTAAAGTGGCATCTTCCCTTACCGGTAGCAGCTGCTGGGCTCTGCTAGCAATCTGTCGTACAAGGTATTATGGAGTACTACGACTGCGGTCTACGAGTCAGACTAGCAGTAATGCTGGCACTAGCAGTACGGGACTACGGGTACGAGTATGAGACGATTCTAGGTAATTTACCCGTACAGTACTCCGGACAGGTTACGGGAAGCCTGAAATGAACCACGTACGAGGTGATGCTGGCAAGGGATGCATTCTGTCACAAAACGTTCGGTGCTCGGCGCTCGTACATGCTCGGTAGAGATTTATGTAGGTCATTCTGTGGGTGTGATGGTCGGTTGATTGGATCAGCTGCGATGGATACTCCTGCGAGTCCTGTCAGCCCTGTCCGTGCTCTGGACATCCTGTAGGGAATATCATTAGCTGTACTCCGTAGCCTGTAGGTGTGATACGGACTGATCTGTACATGTCAGCTCTCTATTACTCGTAGTAACAGCTAGCAGCTGCTTACTCGTAATACTGCTATGAACGGGTATAATCCTATCAAGGACTAATATTACTACATATTACCTACACACGTATGAGACTCACCACGGCGAGTACCATCATTTAGTCCTACTAGGTAATAGATACTAGACGAGTGATACCTACTCGTATGCACTTTAATATATCAATGCTGCCACCAAATGATATAACATTACAACGTCGCACTCTACTTTTTGCCTCCTTGTAACCAGCATGAACAATCTGGGTCGTAGTCCCTGCATAGGTAGCTGTATCAACACGGACAGCATAGGCCTTGGTCAAGACTCAACGCTCCTAGCAATATTGTTATTACTACTGATAATACCGTCTATCTGTAGTAATACTCGTACTGTCTCTGCTAGCTGCCGGCGTCAACGCCCACAATTAAATCCATCTCCTGAATAGGCACATGGCGACCCTCCATTATTAAACAACGACACACGTACCCCTGATCACATCTTCCACCACCCAGAGAAAATCCAAGAGCGGCAATCAATCCCCCTCCTCTCTTTCTTATTTTCTTGCTCTCCTCCACCCCCCCC